ATGTCTCACAGCAGATCCCGAGATTTCCCAACCAGGCCAAGTGGGCGGGGCCGGAACACCACAACAATGGCTGTTATTGATGGATCATCTTATTGATGCATGCATGAATGCATGCCATTCAGGGTAATTCAACTGCCCACTAAACCCCTACCGGTAGGATGCTCCTATCTCTCTCCGATTCCTGCTTTCTGCATGATTTCCCTCTCATATTGCCTTATTCTCTCGCAAATCCCCCAAATAAGCATTCCCCTCCCCATACCCTCTCCGGCAAGACCCTCCGCTATGCACGGATGAGGCTGCACTATTGCTCACTTTAATGCTGCCACTCCACCGCCTCCCGTGCCGACATCCGTTTTCCCTCTTTTGTTTGGCTTCATCTTCACCTTCTGCCAACTTTCAACCAACAAAATGACCCACTCCGACCGGTCTCGTCTCGGTCAACTCTCGCCCTCGGTCGGGTTCCCGATCATTCCATCTCCTCGATCATGCGCGTCAGTGGCTGTCGCCTGTCTATGTGCCCGGTGAAGTTGACATCACTCACCACCATGGATCCTCGGCTGCGGCACTCGGCACTTGGTGGAAGGATGCTTCCATCTTGAAGCTTGTACTTCCTTCGCGCCATCATCGTCGCTTAGGTTTGATGTACCTGGACCTGGACCTGGGACTTCCCATGGCCAAGCATCCGGCCCGCGTCTGGGCACGACTCATCCGTGGAAATCAGCCGGCGTGGCGTTGATGCCAATTTCGATGCGCCATTATCATCCAAGTCTATATCGACATCTGCAGAATGACGATAGCATGTAGCAAGGGGTCTCTGCATGCTGTCCTGAGACTGATTCCCCTGTCAGGCTCCACCGCCGATCACTGAGCACAATTGCGCCTGTGTCGAGATGCCGTTGGATATGCTCCATTGCTATCGGATGGCGGCATCGGTCGAGAATGGCCTCCTGGCCTCCACGGCCATACTCGTTGCCTACAAATACCCTCGTCGCCCTCGCAGATCTGGCTCATCTTATACACAGCTTGAATCCCACTGCCTTCATCTGTTCTAAAGTTTCTAATATCTCTTGACCTGCTTTTTCGTGCTAAATCCATCTCTCCCAGAACCAACCAGCTCAGCCCTATACGATTTACTCATGTCTGACCAGCCTGGTGAAAGACTTTGGCCCGCGATCGTCGACCACCGCGCGCGCTCATCACCGTCGGAGCTCGTTGGTCTCATCCCCAAGGGCTCTGAAGTGTCCGATGGCTACCAGGAGTTGAGCTTTGCGGGCCTCGCCCGTGCCGTTGATGCCTGCGCTCGCTGGATCGAGACTCGCATCGGCCGAGCCACACAGCCCGAGACCATTGCGTATATGGCCGCGAACGATGTGCGGTACTTGGTCTTCATCCTGGCCTCTCAGAAGACTGGCTATCAGGTAAGACTTCAACCCCCATACTCAGTCACCTGAGGCCAGCACTAACCCAGACCAGCCTCTTCTTCCTTCCACCCGTCTTTCGGACGACGCCTACAAGCACATCCTCACCGTCACCAAGTGCCAGAAATTCTTCTACACTGCTGATAAGCAGCGCCGCGTGTCGGAGATCCGAACTGCTCAGCCTGAGACCCAAATCTTCGAGGTTCCCGCTCTGAGTGAATTCCTCGATGCCGAAAGTTCCCCCTACCCCTTCGAGAAGACATACGAAGAAGCAGAGGATGAGGTGGCCATTATCATCCACAGCTCCGGGACAACGGGCATGCCTAAGCCCGTGCCTCTCACCCACGGCTTCCTCGCAACTATGGACATGGGCGCTTATCTCTCGCGCCCTGAAGGCCGCCAGTCCTCGTTGTTCCACGATCTCCAACCGGGACAGCTGGTGATGTCGACGACGCCGTTGTTCCACCTGATGGGCCTCATCGCCTTCACCGAAGCTCTGTTCCACGAGATCCCATTCGTCATGTGTCCCGATAAGCCCCTGTCGGTGGACATCATTGTCGACGTGATCCAAGCCACACACCCCACCGCCATCCTGCTGCCGCCGTCGATCCTGGAGGATATGAGCCATTCCGCCGACGCGCGCGCCGCCCTCCGCACTCTGGAAGCCGTCTACTTCGCGGGCGCGCCGCTTTCCCCGGAAGTGGGCGATCTGCTTGAGCAGGACATCAAGGTCATCACCGTGATCGGATCCAGCGAGATGGGGCTCATCAGCTCCTTGGTGCCGCAAGGCGAGAAGGTCTGGGGCTACTTCGAGTGGAACCCGGCTTACGGCGTCGAGATGCAGCCGCAGGGGGATGGCTTGTACGAGCTGGTGATCCCCCGGCGCGCCGACAGTCGGCGCATCCACGGTATCTTCCACACCTTCCCCGATCTCAACGAATACCACACCAACGACCTCTTCGTGCAACACCCCGAGCGGTCCAACCTGTGGAAGTACCACGGCCGCAAGGATGACGTTCTCGTCCTGAGCAACGGCGAGAAGCTCAACCCGGTGACGCTGGAGAAGACGGTCGAGGGCCACCCGCGCGTCAAGCACGCCCTGGTCATCGGCCAGAGCCGCTTCCAGACGGCGCTGCTGATCGAGCCCACCCAGCCCGTCGCCGACGACAAGGCGTTCGTCGAGGCCATCTGGCCCACGGTGGAGCGGGCCAACGAGACGGTGCCCAAGTACGGACGGGTGTCGAAGAACAAGATCCGGCTGGCCTCGCCCGCGAAGCCGTTCCAGGTGACTCCCAAGGGCACGACGAAGCGTCGCGCCGTCAACAGTGACTACGCGGAGGAAATCGAGGCCATCTACGCGGCCGCAGCAGCGGCCGAGGCGGCCGGCGTGCCCCAGCTGCCGCACACACTGGACCTAACGCACCTATGCGAGTACGTGCGCAGCCTCGTCGCCGAGCTGCTCGCCCGCGCCGACCTGAAGGACGACGAGGACCTCTACGCCGCCGGGCTGGACTCACTACAGACCATCCAGCTGGCGCGGACGCTGCAGACGGCCGTCGCCAACCGCGTCACCGACACCCCCGTCGCAATCAACCAGCAGCAGATCTACGCCCACCCGACCGTCGCCCAGCTGGGACAGTACCTGGTCGACCTCGTGCACGGCCAAACCCGCACGACGACCATCTCCCGCGCCGAGCGCATCGCCAACATGATCGAGAAATACAGCTCCCAACTACCTCCCCACAAGCCACTGCCCTCCTCCCTCCCCGAAAAGTCCACCGTCATCCTGACCGGCTCCACCGGCTCCCTGGGCACCTACCTCCTCCACCGTCTGCTGACGGACCCCCGCATCGCGAAAGTCTACTGCTTCAACCGCAGCGCCACGGCCGCGGACCGCCAACGCGAGAGCTTCACGACCAAGGGTCTGGATCCAGCCCTCCTCACCGACCCCCACCGTGCGGAATTCCTAACCGTCGCCTTCGGCGCCGCGCACTTCGGCCTCCCAGACCCAACCTACACCTCGCTCCTATCCTCCGTGGACCTGATCATCCACAACGCGTGGAAGGTCAACTTCAACCACCCGCTGGAGTCGTTCGAGGACCCGCACCTGCGGGGCGTGCTCGAGTTCTTGCAGTTCAGTCACGCGAGCGCGCACCGCGCGCACCTGGCGTTCGTGTCCAGCGTCAGCACGATCGGGAGCTGGACGTCGCAGATGGGCAGCGTGGTGCCCGAGGCGCCGGTCGAGGATGTGGGCGCGGTGCTGGCGCAGGGCTACGGGGAGTCGAAGTTCGTGAGCGAGCGGCTGTGCTGGGCGGCGGCCCAGCGCGCGGGGATCCCGACCACCGTGCTCCGGGTGGGCCAGATCGGGGGGCCGACCACCCGGCAAGGGAAGTGGAATGTGGACGAGTGGGTGCCCAACCTGGTCAAGACGAGCGTGGCCCTGGGCAAGGTGCCGAGGGATCTGGGCGGGTATGCGGTCGATTGGGTGCCTGTGGTGAGTACTGCCCCTGCTTTATCTCCCGCCGACACATGAAGGAAGAAGCACCCCCCCCCCAACGAGAGAACCAGAGAGCTAATACAATCCCCGAAACCATAGGACACCCTCGCCACCATCACCACCGAACTCACGCACACCCGCCGCGGCGAACAATCCCACACCCCGCACCGCGTCTACCACCTCGTCAACCCGACCAAGACCGCCTGGGCCGACCTCGTGCCCGCCATCCAGGCCAAATACCCCCACGTGCAGGCGGTGGGCTTCGCGGACTGGCTCCACGAGCTGGAGCGCATCCCCTCGCCCAGCGAGGAGGAGGTCCGCGCGAAGCCGGCGCTGAAGCTGCTGGATTTCTACCGGGGGCTGAGTGGGAGCGTGCTGTCGGCGGAGATTGCGGTGGAGCGGACGAGGCAGGGGAGCGAGACGATGGCGAGGTTGGGGGGCGTGACGGGGGAGTTGATGGGGAATTGGTTGGAGCAGTGGGCCTTTTGATTCTTCCTTGCGTGAGTTTTACTTGGTGGTTGGCGGAGAGAATGCGCAAGGGAGGGAGAGACAGAGCAGTATTTGGGGGAAAGTCAAGTTGGGGGGTTGGTGCGTGTCTAACACATGCATGCATATCTGCGGCCGGCGCTTCTTGCTTGGGGGTTAATTTTAGCATGGGTTATAGACTTCGCATAGCATAGAATGCATATCTTTGTTTTTACCAGAGAGAGTTATACTCCGCACCTTAGTCTTACGTCGCACGTACATAAGCGATATGAGCAAAGTCAAAACGAAGATCCATCCCAGTATTTTGGCATTTTGCCTTCGTCCCTGGCAGAATCCCCTTCCTTGCATCCAGACGACGACAACCACAACAACCACAACAACGTTCGTCGAACACAACCCCAAAGAAAGGGGTATATAAAGGCCACATTCCCCAGCCCATCTGCCCTTCACTCCAAACCAATCGTCCCTCCCAAGCTTCAACGAAACAAACCCTCCTCAAAAAAGTCAGTCTCCCTCCATTCATCCCCTCATCCGGGCTCCCTCCCACCCCCCAGAACCAAACCCCAACCCCAACCCCCCCCCCCCCACCAGAAACAAAGATGAAGCTCACAGCCATCCTCCTCCCCCTGATCTCCACGGCCGCGGCCACAACAACCTGCTACTCGGGCGCGCCGACCAGCGAAGGCACCAACTGCCTGTCGAAGCTGTCGATCAAGAACTTCTGGTCGCTGCAGTACTGCAACTACCGGTGGAACGTCAACTACGGGGACTGGGACAAGTGGATCAGCAACAACGCCAGCCACGTGGAGCGCGGCCGGGTGGCCAAGACGGGCGTGTTCGGGGGCATGGAGGAGTGCCTGGATGCGTTCAAGGAGGTCGTCGAGCCGTGCTACGACACCGCGCAGGGGGCGTACCTGACGACGGCGAATGTGAGTCTGGAGGTGAATTGGTGTCAGTGGTGATTTGTCCTCGGTCTCTATCAGTGGGGCACTCGGGATTCAAGGGGGAAATTAGGGAGTGTGGGGGTTTGTTGATGTGATGAGCTTCCAGGAGAGTTGGGGTGATTGTTGATACACGAGAGGACGGGGATATAGTCATGTTATGAAGGTCATGAAGCTTGATGTGATGCAGCATACAATAACAACTACTTGTGCAATTGAACCGTGTCACTATGTGCACAATATACACCCGCTACTAAATACACTCCACCCCGGTAAGTTACCTATATACACCCTCCTATCAACCCTTTATCTCCACGGTGGTGGCCGCAACAGCGACTAATCATCATTGAAGTCATAGAAACTGTTCGCCGTCCACCCGTCCACCGCCGTATAATCCGCCAACGGACTCGTGCCATGCAGCACCTCGTACCGCTTGCGGCCCTGGCAGCTGCCCGTGTAGTTGCCGGCCAGACACTTGCCGCGCAACAGGCGGCCAACCTCCTGCGCCGCGGCGCGGCCCTCGAACCACGCCCCGTGCAGGTACCCAAAGTAGCCGGCGCTGGTGGCCTCGCCGGCGAACCACACGCGGTCCACGTTGGCGCGCAGGTTCTCGTGCATCTCCAGCGTCACGGCGGGCGGCCAGTTGGAGTAGGTCCCGAACGACCAGGGCTCAGTCGTCCAGCGCGGGTAGTGGAAGGCGATGGGGTCCGGGACCGTGACGTTGGGGAACATGGCGCGCAGCACGGCCAGCGCCTCCTGCTTGGTCTGCTCGTCCGACTGGCGCTCGGCGCGGTGGGCGAATTCCTGCGTCACGGTCACGAAGATGATCCCGCTGTCCTCGAAGAAGCCGGGCGTGCTGAGGGATTGCCAGATCGGGTACCAGCCGCGGGTGACCGGGTCGGCGTACAGCAGGTACTGTGTGTCCGCGGGCCAGAAGGTCTCGTTGAACTGGAAGAAGATCTTCGTGTAGGTCGCCATCGTGAAGGCTTGGATGGACTCCTGCTTCCATTGCGGCAGCGCCGGCGAGAAGGTCACCGCGTCCGATTGCTGCAGCACCCCCAGCGAGAACGTGGTGATCGCGTACGCCGCCTGGTAGCAGTCGCCGGCCGCCGTGGTGATCGTCACCCCCGTGTCGGTGTAGGTGATGTTGGTGACCTGCGTGTTGAGGTGCAGCCGGCTGTCGTTGCGCCGCAGGAAGGTCGACGCCATCCCCTCGATGATCGTGCTGAATCCCCGCTGGTCGGTCACGAAGTTGTCTTCGTCGCTGAAGCCGTTGACCGTCAGGTTGCTGCCCGCGCAGCCGAAGACGAAGGAGCTGTCGGCGGGAGTGTACGCGTCTTCGAAGTCTGCGGTGGGCGTTAGTGGGAGTCGCCAGAGGGAGATTGTTAGACCTCATTTTGGGGGTCGGCTTACCCCAAGACCACCAATCCACCGCCTGCGCCTCCATGTCCGTCACCTTCGGGCGCCATCCGGCCATGGCCAGACCGGTCTGCGCCGTGGAATCCTGCAGGTTGTCCGTCAGGATAACGCCCGCGTTGGCGTTGGCGATGTCGTAGGCATCGTCGTACTCGTCCAGCAGGTAGGAGTAATCGCTGTAGCCGTTGTGGTTGTAGGTCGACAGGTTGCTGTAGTTGGAGTAGGTGGTCGAGAGATTGTACACTTGGGCCTGCGACGGTGAGCTTCGTGCGCACGGTGCTGGAGACTGCTGACCACTCACCAATGTCCAGACGGGATTCTGCGGGCCTCCGGGGCTTCCAAGGCCTTGCACCTGCACGAGTCAGCGAGGTCTTCGACAAGACATAGCACAGCGGTCCGACCTACCCAATTGCAACCATTCTCGATGATATACGGCTTGCCGTCCTTCTTCTTGCCGAAAGGCTGGTGCCACGCCCGTCCTCCAATGCGGTCGTTGTACTCGAGAATCAGGAAGTCGTCCATTGAGGCATTGTGCAGCGCTTGCTGTTAGAGTCAGCTACTCTTCGAATAATTGTCTGATTATTCGACACCTACCGCAGCAGCAATGCCAGCCATACCACCACCACTACACCTGTCAGGGACATTCTTCTTCTGCACTGCAGCGAGAGGGACTTACAGAATAGCGACGGTGGTCTGCTTGCATTGGCCCTGATCACGAGCATGAGCCACATGGGCAGCGGTGGGCTGGACAGCCCACGCCCCGAGAAGGGCCAGCAGGAAAGATCGCATGGTGCGAAGGAGAAAGGCAGAGGGTGAGGGGCAGCTGAGAGAGAGAGAGAGAGAGAGAGAGAGAGACAGAAACTGGGAAATCTCCCACTTTATAGCATGCTGATTCGATAGCTCCGGTGAGCCAGCGGGTTCATCGACCTACCCAAAGCTGCAGAAGCTCAACACGGGCTGCAGAGCTCCACCGACGGGGATGGTCAACTTATCACACTTGCTTATCGGGGTTCTAAGCATATTCGGGCAAGTCCAAGCGGGTCCGGGAAGAACCACGGATTGGAGCATTGAAGATACGCTTGGACTTGGCAGATTTGGGTTGTGGGTTGTGGGGAGAGGGGGATTCAATGGTCAGTCAGTGGTGAAGATGAGGATGAGGATGAGGGGGAAGCCCCTGAAGCGGAAAAGACACCGATTGAGATAGCAGCCAGGAGGAGAGGCATCAGATTGCATTTCTGCAGTCTGCATCTTCAGTGAGCTCATATTCTCGGGCTCTCTACAGTCCGCAGCAGGTACAGTCCTCCGTCCAGCTGCAAGAACCTCGGCGATCATCACCACTAGTCTCACTGCTCACCAATTTTCCCCGCCTCAAACCAGGGCAAACCCAGCCGAGTTCAGCTTGCCAGCTTTTCTTCCTCTTTGCCTCGCAAGCTGCTCCCTCTTTGTCCCGTCCAGGGGAAATGCGTCTTTCTTTCCCGTTCCTGAGAATTTGATTAATTACTCTAGTCTCTAGCTGATTGCTGATAAGAGCTGGCCTCGGAAGATGTCTCCAATCGGCCCATTCTTATCAGCGAGGGTCAATCTACGTAATCTGTGGTTATCGCCGGAGTGTTGTTGCTTGTTCCGATCATAGGGTTCGATCTGTTTTCTTTTTCTCTTCTCTTGGATGAGCTATGCGCTCTTTTCCTCTTCCTTTTTTCTTTTCTTTTTTCTTTTCTTTTCTTTTGTTTCTTTACTTCCTTTTTTTCTCCAAGTTCTTTTCTTGTTCCTCTGCACCACTACTCATACATCGTACTGACATCACCCGTCGCTCGTCGACTCCACACTTGATAAAGCGGGGAGTGCGCCCGCCTGTCCCACGGTTCACGTAGAATTGTAGTGTCGTTGCGACGAAAACAGTAGGATAGTGGCAATGAAGAAGTCAGCTGCAAGCACTAAACACAGAGACATTTATCTCCTGCAATCATATTGTCCAAATTATCTACTGGGATGTGGAACAGCCACCACCACCACCTCATTGACGAGGCTGTGATTGTCCCACACCTCACACCCCGGTCAAACAATGCAATCCACATCAATCAGCAGGCAACAATCAACAATCAACAATCAACAATCAACAACCAGCATAATCCCACGCCTCCCATCTCCATGAGCCCGAACAGTCCAGATATCCTTGACAGGGCTGGCCCACAGCCCCATGCGAGATGACAGACAGCGCCAGAACACACACAGCACACGCAGCACAGGCCGCCCGCGGGCGGGCGCATCCTCGCCGAAGCCCGACAGCAAGGCCTCGGCTTGGCGCCACGATTGGACTTCATGTTTTCTGGGGATTCGACTCATGGCGGCTAACTGCGCCGCCAACAAGGCTGGCCTAGTCTGCAGGAGGCTGGCCATCGAGCCTTTCTGTGTATAAGAAGAGACCAGACCATCACCAGCCTCGCGATGGGCGACTAGTTCTGGGTGTGCCTGCAACCCTCCGTGCGCAATGGAGAAACTCCGCACCAGCTCGTCGACCGACCGACCGGAGACGAGGATTTTCGAGGAATGCGGTGAGTTGTCCTGTCCTGTTCTTTGCTTGTTGTCGATTCAAGCCTGGCTGACCCAGTCGCAGAGACAGATGACTGGGTGGAACGGCGCATTTCGTTGCTGGAGTTCAATGCAGAGGTCACACCCGCCCTCCACACAGCGCAATTGAGAATTCCCAACAGGCAAACAATCCTAACATCTTTAATAGACCCCACGCTACTCGACAGTGATGTATTCATCTCTCCCTTCGAACATTTTCGCTCTTCGTGCATATCCCAAACCCTAACATCAAGAAAATAGATTCACCTCAACCACGACCCTCGACACACCCTCACACCTGCCCCTCTTCCCCGCCCGCTTCCAACCCATCATCACCGAAGACCTGAACGGCTCCTTCGACTGCGAGGATATCCCCAACGAGGCCGGCCAATTCATCCAGCACAGTAAGCCAGCCAGCCATCCGCTTCCCCTCAGCCATAACCCCGCCCCCCTTTCTTATGTACTATTCCCTTCCCACCACCACCAAAAATAACACCGAAGTAAAGGATCATGGTCCACCTTCAAAATCAAACGTGTGATCGAACCTCACAAATACCACTGGACGCAAGCCACCTGCTACATGGACTGGGACCCGCGCACCCGCCAGCAAACCGTCTACTGCATCGATCTGCCCCTGCCGCCGCGCACGTTCCTGAAGGCCTTCCTCCCGCCAGCGCGCCAGCGCGCCCACGACCCGTACGCCTGGCACGCGGCGTTCGCGACGGCGCTGATCCCGGAATACGACCGGTCGATCTGGGGGCTACGGGATCTGGTGCGGGACATTGAGAAGGTGAGCAGCTACCGCAGAAGCCACCTGGTGCCTTCCTACACTCCACGCATACCATGCATGCCTCGAAACGGCGCTCCAAAACCCACTTGATCTCATACTAAAGCTAGAACCAGGCCCGACTGAACCCCACGGCCCTGACGCCGGATTTCTTCCCGCACCTGCACGACATCGCGCGGCACATCTTCCACGCCAACGAGACCCTCGAGGTGGCGCAGCATACCGTGGAGAGTCTGGTGCGGGAGCAGATCCGGTCGGCGGGGTTGTATGCCCCAGGAGCAGCAGCAGCAGGGACGACTCCCAGCTCCAACGCCCCGTCACACCATCACCACCACCACCACCATCACAGCTACACCCACCCCCACACCCACAATACCTGTGTTTCAGCCCCAAGCACGCACCCCTCCACCCTCCAGACCGAACGCGCCCTCCGCGCCCTCGCCAAGCAGCTGCATGCGCTGCACACGCGCAGCCGCTCGCTCACGGAGCGGTTGCACAATGAGATCAATCTCGTGCGTCGCCTTTCCCCATCACTTATGTCCTTCCCCCCCCCCCCTCCCAACCATGATCATTGGTGTATCTTTGCACGGGTTATGCGGCTAACCAGAAAGCAAACGCTAGGGCTTCAACCTCGTCTCCCAGCAGTTCGGGCACGACACCAAATCCGACTCGGCGGTGATGAAGACCATCGCCGTGGTGAGTATGGTCTATCTGCCGGGGACGTTTGTGTCGGTACGTGTGTTTTTGTCTTTTTCCTTTTACATTGTTGTCCAGAAGGGGAGTTGTTTAGGAGCTGACGGCTGACGGCTGACGGCGCAGGGCCTCTTCGGAACGAACTTCTTCAACTTCACCGACGGCGACGAACACACCTGGTTCATGGCGGGCTCGTTCTGGCTGTACTGGGCCGTGACGATCCCTCTGACCCTCGCCACCATGGCGGTCTGGGCTTGGTGGCATTATTTCCGGCCTGCAAAGCGAAGAACCAGGAAAAGGCCGGTGCCACAGAGGGTGGAGACGGTGTGAGGATGCGGAATGCCTCGGAAGGGTTACGTATGGGGGCGACGAGGTGATGACTGATGATTGCCGATTGAAAACTCATATGCTGGGTTATATTACGATGTGTCCGGTCTGACATGATGTATAATGAGTTATGATTAATAAGATGTAAAAATATAGCGCAATAGCTAATTTAGATAGCAGTCATTCAGAGACACATGATGAGACAAATGCTGAATCGGAAGCTAGCGAGTAGCTTGGGTCGAATGCTGAGGAGCAACCAGCTACTGGTTGTTGCATTCCAGGTTCAACGACCGCTCAGGATCTTGCGCAGACTATCCGAGAATGATCGCAAGGCTTAAGATTCAGGCATGTGCCGGCACACAGGCCGGTCGGGTTCAGGGCTCGCTGGCCCGTGTAGGAGGGATCTCTTAATCCTCTCGGGTATCAAATAGTGGTGCCTCAACAGAGGAACATTTCAAGTCACCTCAACCGGCGGGACTGCTTTCCTCCGCCCCATCGGGGGATTCGTCCACTCCCAACATCGGGGTGGTCGCTAGTGGCAAGAGAAAAGTGGTGAACAGAGAGGCAGTCTCCGCGGGAAGAGCCACCCCTTGAGCCTGGGCGGTGGTGCGCACGATCCCCAGCAGGTTCCTCCCGCCGTCCCACCGGCGTGTTAATGATTTGGCAGCAATCGAAAGGGTAATGAACGCCTCTCGGTTTTCAGGCTCATCGAGCCCATCCAACAGAGCGAGAAGAGCCCCCAACAGACAGGAGCTATTGCTGACCGGCATGCGCTGCACGCCCCAGCACGAGCGATGAATGCAACTCAGATGGGCAATGTTGCGCGCCGCCGAGAGCCGGACAGCGCGGGCGTGGAGCCCAACCCGGTCGGTCGCGGAGGGCGGTGTGGCCGATAGAACCACTCCATACAGCGTCAGGACAATCCAGTGGTAGTACATGCTACATTCCTCTGTAAGTTACCAATAAAACATCATCGACCACCCACTACTCACTGCAGACACAGAATATGAGGCGCTTCGAGTCCCGTGCCCTTCAAGCATGCGGGCCAGTGGTCCGCGCAATGTTGGAGGTGTTCGTGCAAAACAGTGACCCGCGCGGCAAGATCGGCACGTGGCGGAAGCTCGAATAATAGAGTCACCTCGTAGGCGATCGGAGTCAAATTCGAGAGGGCGACGAATAAACAGTCCACGTGACCAGGAATCCCCGCCACCGGGCGTGGATAGGGCTGCCATATGTCATCTGGACCGCCCTCATGGCGCAATGGTGGGAGACGGTGGCGGTCGGGTACGGGTATCGATGGGCGGCTCCGGTCGGTCAGGGCATGGATCCTGGCCGACGCGTCAGTGGAGCTCCTTCATAAGGACCGGTCGCATGGGGCGATGGAGGAGGAGGAGAAGAAAGTCAAAGATCGGGCGCAGGGGCCGTACGTGGCGACGTTGAATAATCCCCAGACGGTCCGGTTCAGCCCATGAACCATCCGCAAGGTATCCAGGTCGGGATTAGCGGCGAGGCTGGAATTCTTCTGCAACAGTTCTTGCAGTGCGTAGGCAAGCTGGTGTTGATAAATCCAGCCCTGGCGGTCGCGACCGGTCCGAGCAGCACTGCGTGGAAGGTCAACCCAGGATCTTGGTTGAACGCGTCGTGAAATGACCTACCATGACCATAGGATCCCCAAACCCTGCACGGTCGGCAATGTGATGCGCCCGGCTTCCAGGTCGAGTAATCGTTTCGCTTCCTCGTAGAAATGAAGGCCTTTCGAGGCGGTATCGCCGGGGATGGTGAATGCGTCCGGGTAGTCCGAGTAGGCCTAAACCGATCAGCTGGGGGTAAAACCACCACGAGACACCGGCCAACCTACACATGCGTCGGCGAGGATACTGTTGACCAGGAACGGAGAACAGAACCGCCCTGACCGCTTGCCGGTCTGCATCTCCCGCAAGAACAAGTCTCGATCCATCCAGTTGCGGAAGGGGTGCGACCAGGTAAACCAGAGCGAGATGAGATGTGAAACAAAATGGGAATCGGGCACTACGACGGTCCAAGGGTGCGCCGGTACGAGGTAGCGTGGTGAGTCGGCGGCACGTTTGGCTTCGAGCATGCGGCGCATCGGCCGCGAGCGGTCGGAGGATTGTAGATGTTGGACTTCGCGACTCAGCTGAGCCAGGTCGGGCGTCAGCTCCAGTTCCGACTGCGGGATATGGAGGTGAATGTGCTGGCGGATTTCGTCGAGGGTGGGATCGGTACGGATGAGGTCGATGAGAGGCATGACATGACCATTGCCACTTTCGCGAATAGCACCCACGAGGCGGACCAGCAGCTCCTCCTTGTCGGCCAATTCTTCGATTTTGCGTTTCAGAGCCCCCCGGCGACGTTTATCGGCGCTCTTGTCGAGAGTGCATTCGACATTGCTTTTGACGCAGCTGGCACAGGGCACGGATCCGGTACACTATAGTCCACCCTCCGGTTAGTGTGAGTGCGAAGGGAGAAGAGAGGAGGGGAGAGGATAGAGGGGGGCAGGAGGTAGAAACAATGGAGGAGGATGAGCCGCGCACCTTTAGTTTCCGCGCTTTGCAGGCGGCACAAGCAGTACCAACATTCTTTCTGCGTTGGTGGTTGTCGAGAGCAGCATTGGCACCAGGAGGGGCCGGAGCCAAGGGGCGCGACTTAGTATCGGACATGATGAGGATCCATGATTGAATCGGACGGGGAGAAGCGAAAGGTGGGGAGAGGAGGAGGAAAAGGAAGAAGGGATAAAGACTAGAAAATATGCAGCGACGGAAGGAGAGAGAGGAGGAGGATATCAGGGAGGACAAGAAAGGGTCGAGGGAAACAGGGCGCAAGAATCGCGAAAAACCGTAGAGGACGAGGGCAGGATAGTAGAAGAACGAGGAAAAGGGAAAGGAGAAGGAGAAAGAGGGGAGGAGATCGCCAGAGGGAGAAGATGGATATGCATGAGAATGAGTGAGTGAGTGGTAGAAGTGTTGATTAGTGGTGGTGTTAGTTTAGTCAGGAAGTACGGAAAAGTAGTTCGGTTATGGTGGTGTACTCCGTAGTAGCCTCAGAATGGCAGATCCCGTGCAGGAGAGGAGAGGAAAGCAGGTCGAAAGCAGGTCGATCCAGCGCGAGGGAGGGGGGAAAGAGGAATGACGGCGGACGATTGGATGGTGGGAACATCCCTTCCACTCGATTGGGACCAAAGTGGGTAAAATGGATGGATCTCAGTAACTCAGTTCGAACAAAAAGGTGGAGGGAGGAGGAGGGAAGTGGATCGACCCGCTTGATGTGCTCATGCTCATGCTCATACTTCCAGTTCCTGAATGAATGGGAGATGCGGAAGATTGGAGAAGAGTACCGACAATAGACAATTGTCAATCAACAATTGAAAATAGACAATAGACAATAATAGACAGATACAGACAATGCAGGGGAAGAACTATTGAGTCCAGTGGACTGTAAGTACCTGATAGGTATTAATTTAAATCGCAAAGACTCATTTTATCAGCATTTCCATGCCTGTACAGTCCATACTACCTAGTAACTAGTATGTAGTATGTATCGGCATTCATCCATGATGGATGTCGGCGTGTGCAGCTGGATTAGGCAAGTAGCATCATCGCTGCATTCATGATAGATCCATAAACCATGAACCATAAACCATGAACCACAAACCAAACCTGGTAGTACCTTAGCTACTACTACTCCGTACTAAAAGCCTCCAAGCAGGCTGAAAAAGTACATTCATAACCATTCTACTCGTATGTTCTTTTTGCTAGGATAAACTCCTTCTAAGCTGGGAACTATTCCCGAGATGATTCCTTCCTGCCGGCCGAGCCGAATCAGGAATGGGGGCATATTCCCGAAACCGGCAATGCTGTCGCATGCCGTTGCATCTGACTGGTGATTTCCCAGTCACGGGACTAGACGGCCCGACGGCACTAAGCCCATCTCAGAAACCAGGCTGTCGCCTTCTATCTCCGGATTTTATGATTGGATGGCAGTCGGTGCCTGGCTATCTCCGCCGGCCGATCGGGTTTGCCAACAAGGTTGAAAAGGTTGAAAAGGTGAAAGTTAACAATGGAACTGATTCCATTTGAGTCAATCAAACAAATTCCCATGCGATCTTCGCTCCCTCCCACTGTCCCACACGGTCTCGATCCAAGAACAAAAAATGTTGAGGCCCACTACTCCGTAGTCAAGTCAGAGGAGGAGAGACACAGACTGAGAAAAACAGGTTTTTTTTTTCTTTTCAATGCAGTGACCTATCGAGGTCTTAGACCGGTCGGATCTGAAAACCGCTAGACTTTTGTGCAAGAAACCCCTCTTTCCAGTTGCAGCTGGTCACGCATAGGCTATGCTATCGCAGCCACAGCACCATACTGTTGGCCTTGCTCGGCACTTCGACGCTATATCGACTTTAAAATTGGAGCCAACACCTCATCATTCGCCTATCGTGGTTCATGCTGCCTGCCGGAAATCATTTCCTATGGCCGCCCGGACCCAACAGTCCCCATAAGGTATCAGCCACCACCACTGGGCAGGAGTGAGGTTTAACTCGATACGGGCCAAAGCGCCCTGAAACCACCAGAGGGAACCACCAGTAGCTCGCGTGGCCTCGTCGATGCGGTGGCAAAGGCGATCTTGGTGTTCCTGCGTGGAAATTACATGCGTAGTATCATTGGATATTCTCCTCAATACCCACGCCGGGGAACGACCTGGAGGGATTTGATTTCCGTGAATTTGTACCGATGGGTGGCAAACCTTGGGCATTACTCAGTCAGATACATGTGTACTCAAAATTAGTGTTATTATTATGATGCTCATGTTACATCCAGTACTCATAAGTGAGGCGGAGGTGGCGAGCTGGTAGACGCGGACCTGTTTGGGCCTCAGGCTGTCACTGTTCAGCCTCAGGCTCCCAGAGTCACATGTTACGTGTTTACACCGGCTGTGGCTTCACATCCACCACCTGCTTCTTCTCCCGCTCCTCCTCTTCCTTGGACACCACCGAACGTCGCTCCTCCTCTTCCCCTCCAAACGACCGATCCATCGAATCGTCGCGCCAGAAGTCTTTCTTACCTCGCGCCGCCCGCTTCACCCACGGAGGGAACAGCCCTCCTGGAATCCGCCAGGTCCATGGCTCACTCTCGTCCAGGTTGGGCGGCACCAACCGCCCGCCCGTCACCTTCGCCAGCACCCACGTGATGCCGTTGATCGTGATGTAGCTGCAGATACCGGCAATCAACCCGTACGCGATACTATACGTGAACGGCATGATGGCAATCGTCAAGAATGCCGGAATCGCATCTCCGTGGTACTTCCAGTTGATCTGCGTCGCCGCCTGCGCCATCAGCGCCCCGACGATGACCAGCGTGCAACCAGTTGCCCAGGGAGGGATGGAGGCGAAGATCGGCGAGAAGAACACCGAGATGAAGAAGCACAGGCCCGTCATGCACGATGTCAACCCCGTCTTACCTCCTTCGGAGATACCGGCTCCACTCTCCACGAAAGCCGTCACGGGCGGCACGCCAAACAGAGATCCGATCGAGATCGAAATGGCATCCACCATCTGGGGACAATTAGTGTGGGGGCGCAGAGAAAGAACGGCAGAAAATACTCACATAAGCAATAGAGCTGCCCTCGAAGTCCTGCGTGACCGGATCAATCGTGCCTGCATAGCGCGCCATCGAATAAAGCGTTCCCGTCGTGTCGAGGATGTCGACATACTGCTTCCGTTAGTCGTGTGACCTCGCCAACCGTCGAGGGATGTTCACATACCAAGAACGAGATGAAAGCCAAGCCGAACTTGGCGCCGTGGCCACTGATGTTCCACTCCTGCGCGACGAGCGTGCGCGTGATGGGATGGAAGGTCACCACCTTCTTGAAGAAGTCGAAACGGCTGTCTCCGATCGAGGAATGAGGGAAATAGGTGACATCAGTGGGTCGGGGCCACGAGATGATCGAGACAAGGAGGATACCCATAATGATAGCACCCTTGACTCGGTACATCATGAGCACTACGGTGAGCACACCACCGCAGAAGATACCAATCCACATGGTCGGGCTACGCATGACCGCGGAGGACGGGCAAGCACCCGTAGTCGCATCCTTGAGGCTCTCGGTACATCCTGCCAGATCGATCGGCACACTGGTGCCGCCCGTCACTAGTCCGATACCCGCACTATAAGTGAGGCCGATCAAGGTCAGATACAGCCCGATACCCGTGCCGGTGGCCAGCTTGATCGAGGCAGGTAGCGCACGGGCCAGCCATTGTCGGATACCCAGCAGCGTCAGGGCCAAGAAGACAAAGCCCTCCACGAAGACGGCCGTCAACGCGATTCCATAAGGGATCAAACCCGATCCGTGGTATCCGACCACTGTATATGCGAAGTAGCTGTTGAGACCCATGCCTGGGGCGAGCGCGACCGGAAGATTGGCGAACAGGCCCATGCAGAAGGTCGACAGTGCCGAGATGGCAGCGGTCGCCGTCACGACATCCCGGTTGACCTCCTCGACGCACAGGAGGTACTCCGTGTTGGTCGCGCAGAGATCGGACATGCTGTCCGCGGGGCAGACGCAGGGACCGCCCGATTCGGAGGTGATGGTGGCGTTGACACTGATGATGTACGCCATCGCGAAGAAAGTGGCGAGACCGGCGCGGAGCTCGGTGAAGAAGAAACTACCCTTGCGTTCCTTGGGCTAAGGGAGGGATCAGTCACGCTCGCGATGCACCGCTGTGCATCCACAAAGTGCCACCACTTACATGGCCCGAGTTCTCCAACCGGAACCATCTCCCCACGGGGCTGCGAGCCACCGCGAGGTTGGTTTCATGCACCCAGTTCTGCAAACCCATGGTGCAAGGCGACTGCCAGTCTATTGCAAGACAATCTACTGCGAGACAAGCTCGAGGAATGAGAAATCAAAACAGACAACGCTGACAGCTTCACCCCCCAACCCGGGGAACCAGGGATTTTATGTGGTCCGTCAGGCAGAAGCGGCGAAAAAAAATGTCGCGGGAGCCGGGGAACGAGGCCAAGTGATAAGCACCCGCACGCGATCGGGAAAGCGACGTGTGGGAAATTTCTTCCTTATCATCTTGGCAGCTTGGCAAAGGAATGGATTCAGCCTGGACTGGCTGCTCTGTCCATGGGTGGCGTGCTTGGCAATTCGCCTCCAGGCAATCAGCGTTGTTGCAGTGAATATCTCCTGATTGTTACCGGCTAGGGTTACTTCGCTAAGCGGCGGAAAAACTGGTGGCCAGCCTTGGCAGCCGCCGGAAAACTGCAGGCTAAGAAGCAACTAAATGAGTAACTAAATGAACGTAGGTTTCTAATCTGTTACGGAACGTTTTCACGTGCGCTTATCAACAAGCTTTCTCCTGGAAGACTACTGGCGAGGGCGCAAATTTACTCTTTCGCCGCAGCGCTGGGCCATACAGGATGAACCCCAATGGGATGGGAATCATGATCGCGGCGAGACATCCCAGTAAGGTGCCTGCCCATTGCACCCCCAGATTGACGAACATCTGCTTGGCGAACAAGGGGAAGCATGCGCCCACCGCGGACCGGAGGATAGTGTTGGCGGCGAACACCGAGGCAGCACTAAAGTAGCTCTCGTCAGCTGATGACTTGCAGGGATGCAGGGACCGCCTCATCTACCCACAATTGCAGATAAGAGTCAATAAGATAGTTGAAGCACTGCAAGAAGATGCAGTAGATTCCGAAGCCGGTGAACACTCCCGATGCGGTTGGCGCCATCCAGTGGATAGACTGTGTCCAGCCCGTCCAGCCGTACCTGTCGGAGCCTTCTTTAGCGACTGATTTCGCTCGGTGATTACTGCGGGGGCTGTTCCTTACCAAAACAATCCAATTGTGAACGCCGCACCCCCTACAATCGCCGGGGGTAATCTCCACTCCGGCACCGGGACGTCTCCGTTGGCAATCAACTTTTTTGTGTAGCTCCCCTGGCTCATTAACACGTACGCCCCTCCGGCAAACTCGCCAATAATCAGCCCGATGAAAGGTAGACTGCCCACCCCTAGGTTCATCCCGTGAATCCCCTGGAACACTACGGGGTACGCCGACAGCAGCGCATACATCAGGCCATAGATGAATGACATGTACAGGGTGACCAGGAAGACAATCGGCTCGGTAAAGAGCATCCGAAACGGGCGGCTAAAGTTGACGGTGATCAGCTCGCGCAGATCGATCTCCACCTCGTCCTGCTTGGCGTGGATGCCCCAGTTCCGGGTCTGGCGGCGCACGATCGACGCCTTCTGCTGTAGGAGCGCGGGCGCGTACGTCTCGCGGTAGAAGAGGAGCAGGAGCGCGAAGCCCAGGAAGCCCATGATGCTGGCGATGTACATGGTCCAGCGCCAGTGCAGGTAGCTCATGGTGATGAAGCCGCCCGTGAAGGGCGACGCGAAGGGCCCGACGAACACGGCCATGGCGAACATGGCGATCGCGATCCCGCGCGTGCGGTTGTTGTAGATGTCCGCGAAGGCCGCGGGGACAATGGCCAGCGGGCTGGCGGCGAACAGCCCCGCGAAGAACCGCGTGAGCATGATCGTCTGCACGTCCTTGGCCGTCGCCGTCCCGATCGTGAACACGCTGTACCCGAAGATGCCCGCGGTGATGGGCCAGCGGCGGCCGTAGAGTTCCGATAGGGGCGCCCACAGCGTCGGGCCGGCGGCGAAGCCCAGGACGTACAGGGTCACGCCTAGCACGGCCACCTCGGTGCTGATGTGGAACTGTTCGCTGATGGCGGTGACGGTCGAGGAGAAGATGGCCGAGGCGAAGGAGGAGACGAAGGTGACGTAGGCCAGGATGGCGGAGAGGAGGATTCTGCGGGATGGTTAGGGTTTGTTGCTGATGGAGTAGAGGGCGTGCTGAGAGGGTTGCCCAGCTGCACATCTGCCAGACGCTCGGATCGCTTACTTCGTCCCCGTTGCCCAATTATGCGGATGCATCGGATCCTTCTCGTCGAGGAACTCGACAACATACCGGTCCGGGTCCGGGAGCAGCGGGGGAAACTCCTTCCCGCCGCCCATGGGGAGCCATTGCTCGCGCGGCGTCCGGGTGCTCCCTCTGCGGGAGCCGACGGTGGACTCATGGGTGAGGCGGAGGGATTGGATGCGCGAGATGGCAACGTTGCTCTGGGTTTGATGGAGGCTGGTGCTGGGGGTGCGCACGGGTTCGAAGCTGGGGTGCTCGGTTGGGATGGTGGAGAGGGAGGAGGCACTGGAATGCGGGGAGGAAGGCATGATATGAGGATTTGGAGGTAGAGTGCGATGCGGAGATGGACATGACTGCAATCTTGCGATGTTCTGCGATTGAGTTGCATTTTATTCGGGGCATGATGAAAGGAGGGAGAAGTGGTGGTGTCATCACTTGCGGGAGAGAGCCATGGTTCGTTCACCAAGGGACGGTGTATGTAACATTGCTTATCTCGGTATGCAGGAGGGCTGCATACGAGGGCTAAGCTTTGCTATGAAGTAAGATGATGAAATGGTATTCCAGGGACCTAGTATGCATGCAGTACACAATATATCCACCAACAATGAAGCTATCCAAGCGCCCAGCTCCACCTCTCCCACAGTATATATCTCAGCTACTAGCTGTCTCTAAACACCGCGGATCTACTGCGCGGCCGCCAAATAGCCCTCCAACGCCGCATAAATCGCACCCACATACTGCCTGGCGCGCTCATTCTCGACCAACCCCATATCCATCTTATTCATGGTATACGTGACGGTAACGCCCCTCTCAACATCGACCAAGCCCAACGACCCGCCCCACCCCGTCCAATATCCCACCCTGCGCCCATCGGGCAACCAACTCGGCCCCGAAGGCCTGGCCATCGCCATGCCCACCCCAAACGTCACCGGCAGCCCGAGCACCAAATCCACGCCGGACACCTGCTCCTGAAAGATCAGATCCACCGTCTCTTCCTGCAGATACCTTTTGCCCCCCACCACCCCCTTCAACGTCACCACCTCCAAAATCCTGTTCAATGCCCTGGCATTCCCAAACCCATCGGACGCCCCCATCTCCGCATGCCGGAACTCCGGGGTCGCCGGGCTCTCCACACCCACCGCCCCGGACGCGCTCAGTATCGCCTTTCCAGCCACACTACCCGGCTCCAGCGTCGGCACCTCGACGGTGGACGGCGGAACCAGCGTCGCAATACGACCCCATTCCCGCTCCGGGACATCCAGATAGAACCCGCCCTCCGCCCCAAGCGGAACCACCAACTCCGTCTGGATGAACTCGCTCAACCCCCGGCCGGTCACCGCCCTTATAAGTCCCCCGAGGAGAAACCCGTAGGAGAGGATATGATACCCGGACGCCGTCCCCGGCTCCCACCAGGGATCCTGCGCGATGAGACGCGCGGTGCACGCCTCGACATCGTAGATCTCGGCGGGACTGGGGGCGGGGGCATCCCACCCCGCCAGGCCGGAGGTGTGGCTGAGGAGATGCCGGACTTGGATGTCGGGGGAGGCGGTGAAGGCCGGCCAGTAGGAGCTGACGGCGGCGGTTGGGGAGAGTTGGCCTCGGTCGATGAGGAGGAGCGTGCTGAGGGCTGTGAGGAGTTTGGTGAGGGACCAGACGGGCACGAGGGTGGTTTCTTGCCAGTCTGCTGGGCTGGTGCCGGAGGTGGAGCCGCCCCAGAGGTCGAGGACGGTGCGGCCGTTGATGCTTACGCAGAGCGAGGCGCCGGTTTCGGTGCCGGTTTGGAGGTGCGTTGCGAAGAGGGCGCGCACGGCGGCGAAGGCGGGGTGGTTGGTTCCTTGGACGGTGGGGGTGGTCATTTTGAGGGGGTTGAGGTGGTGAGGAGGGAGGAATAGGAGGAGGGGGAGAGAGGGTGGAGGAGATGGAGATATTTGTATCGAGTTCTGCCTGGAAAAGAGGTAGATCTGTACTGTACAAGGTTCGTTGACTCAATTGATCTCAAGGTTCACTTTGGCTGAGGTGAGATTAGACGAGGATCTGCCTCGGTTCATCCTAGCTAGGATTAGCCAGGCTACTAGCTAGTCACTAGTCAGTCTAGCTTCAAAATCATTCTGTACTTTCTGTACATCCTTCAATGAACAGCACAGTATAATACGGACATTGTTCGACTGGACTTCGTGGTGGTGGGGATGACAGGTTGTTTATTACTCCATAGTATATACTGTGCAGTGCAGTGCAGTAGATCTAAACCCTACCCTGAGCCATCTCGACGGCATCGTCCACCTGGCCGTCCTCCACAGCCTTGGTCGGCTGCGCGTCCCCCAGCCGCAGATCCTTCAATGACAAACTAATCAAGAATCCAAACCCGGCAACAGCAGTGTACAGCACCCAGACCCAGCTTAACGCCTCCGTCAGCGCATGTAGCACCACCTCCCGCTCCTCGCCCTTCGGCAGCATCTTCACAAATGCCTCAGCCGCGGTGGACGCTGCCACAATCTCCTCCGCCAGGGTCTCCCCCAGCACCGCCGCCATCGTTCCCTCCTTCGTACTCACCACATGGCCGTACACCACCGATGCAACCACGACCGACACCGCCGAGGCCAGCTGCCGGATGAAGGAGAAGGTCGCCGTCCCGCGCCCCAGCTCCTCCGGTTTGGTGTTCGCCTGCAAGGCAATCAGCGTCGCCTGGAAGTTCGGGCCAATGCCCAGCCCCACGACCACCTGGAACAGAATGATCCGCGGCCACGAGGCGTACGACTGGAGGTCGATGTAGAGTCCAAAGCCGAGGGTCGTGAACAGCATCCCCAAACAGATCGCCTCGCGCGATCGGCCGGTACTCCGCATGTAGAAGCCCCCCAACCCGGACGAGATCGAAAGGGCGACGACCAGCGGGAGCAGGTACACCCCGCTCATGAGGGAGCTGGCTAGGAGGACGTTCTGGAAGTAGACGGGCAGATAAAAGCACCCGCCGATAAACACGGTGGCGTGGCAGAAGTTGATGAGAAGGATCGTCAGGTTGTAAGGGTTGGAGAAGATCGTGATGGGGATGATGGGCGTGCGGGCGAATTTCCACTCATGGAGGAGGAAGAGACCGGCCGTCACTAGTCCAAAAAGGATGAGGCAGATGATCGTGGCGGACGACCAGGGGTACTGCGAGCCCCCGAACTCAAGGCCGAACAGGAGCATGAGTGTGGCGCCCACGATCAGGACGAGGCCGGTCCAGTCGATGGCCCGAAGGCCGGTCGCGAGCGGGGTGAGCGGGGCGGTATCGAGTTGGAGGAAAAAGAGAAGACCGAAGAAGGCGAGGCCTCCGATGGGAACTGAATGGGGTCAGCGATGTAGCGAGGGCGGGGCCAGGAGCACGTACGGTTGATGTAGAAGCACCAGCGCCAAGTCGAGTAGGTGGTGAAGGCGCCGCCGATGATGGGTCCGATGGCACCGGCGATAGCCCAGGTCGCTCCGAAAATCCCCAGATACGCCGACCGGCGGCGCACATTGAACAGATCTGAGACGCAGATATTGGCCAAGACAGTGATGCCTCCGCTGCCGACACCCTGGATGGCGCGGCCCGCGATGACCATGGCGACGTTGATGGCCACGCCGCAGATCAAACTCCCTCCCAGGAAGAGCACCACGGAGATGATGAGAATGGGCTTTCGGCCCCAGATGTCGCTGATCCGACCCCACAGTGGGACACACGATGCATTGGCAAGCAGGTACGAGGATGCGATCCAGGAGTATGCGCTGTCGGAGGCTTTGAAGTGGGCCACCATTTCTGGTAAGGCCGTCGAGACAATAGTCTGCGAGGCGTAAGTGTGTTGTCCATGATGATGCTCGGAGAGGAAGGCCTTACAATGTCCAATGCTGCCAGAAAGACGCAGAGCTATGCAAGCTTGTTAGCGATTGTTACATAGAGTTGTGCTCGCGCAGGCGCTCGTACGCTCAGCGCTGTCATCACGACAGCGATTCTCTGCTTGCTCTGATGGTCGGCCGGAGAGTCATCCTCCGCTGTGAATGGAGGGATATCTTTGCCCACAGTTGATTCCGCGAAATCGTGCCCATCTTCCATTTGCTGGTATGAACCAGGAGACGATCCTTCCTCCGTCTTGACAGCCATGGACAGGGTTTAGGGGTAATGATCTGGAATGGAAAAAAAACTTAGGAATGGAACGAACGACAAAACGAGGGACAGTTGCTTCAGGAAACGAGTGAAAAGTACGATCGAGATATCAAAGTCAAGGGCGATTGGCACAAGTGTCTGGGAAGGCCAACCCCCGTGACAGGCCACGAGGGTCGAGAAGTTTCGGATAGCCGAAGCTCCTTGACAGCCTCTCTCGAAGCATGAGGGGCCCCACTGGCTCGATCGAACCTGGTGTTAAGCCTCCCGATTACGGACGGCGATTGGTAGTCTCTGCCTGGGTCCACTGGGTGTAAATCCACCCGACGTCATTTCATGGCGCCTGGGGATGTTTTCCAGGCTAGGGCTGGGGGAGATCCTTAAGGGGTAAATAGGCGAGGGGCTCGGGTAATGAGGGAGTACGTGTAAGGGGGATGTCGGGAGAGGACTCATCCGCCGTGGTAGTTCGACTTTAGACAGTCGGGACAATGGATCCCATGTTGTAGCAAATGTCCGTGGTCAATAGATATGTGCCTCTCGAAATCTTGCAGAAAGAAGGAGCCGAGGGGCATGGACTCCGTGGAGAGTTGGAGACAGTGAGGGAATCCACAGAAAAGACTTTCGGCTCTTCAGCCATGGTTGGCCCGGTGGAGCACAACGAACGGTAAAGCCTGACCAATCACTAGCTGAATATTGGCCTGTGGAAAAGTCTGGGTATCGTAGGCGATCTTCTTTGAAAGAGAGGTTGTTTCATTTGTAGTGATGGTGACTGAGCTGGTCAAGAAGCCTTTAAGACGGCACGAAGAAGGAAGGGCATAAATGGAATCAAGTGCATGGGTGAGTCAGCAATCCAAGATCAGTCATGTGACTACCCCGCGAGTTGCTCAGACCGCCTTCTGCCTGAGTGCCTGCCTGGGTGCCTGAGGGGTCTTATCGATAAGGCTCTAAACGATTGCCAACACAACAAACAAATTCTCCTCACCGCATGGCATGGCATCATTCACTCTCTTCCATACCACATACCACACCTCTCTCGCGCATTTGAAGAGCAGTCGAAGTGAATAACTAGTCTGCTTCAATCGGCTGTATTCGCTTCTGCATGTCTGTCACTGCCTTCTCTAGTCTATCCGTCCCCTTCCCCTTCCCCAAGCATATTCGCCAACGTCGGTTGAATGCCGGGCGTCCATCAACGCCTCTCTACTACTATACGGGGCCGGCGACCACCCACCCTTAGTAGTCCATCCAGCCTCATCCTTTCCTGGGAAACGATCTGACCCTCATCGATCATCAATCGTCCTCACTCCAACCTCTGTCCAGCCTACCCAAGACCAAGATGCTAGCAGATGCCGATATAACCGCTTTGGACAGCCAGCTAGGCACCATTGTCCGTGAAAACCAACAACACCACGACAACCTGCAAAGCCTGCTCTCGAAGTTCCAGGAGCTGCTCGAAAGCTACAACAATTTAAAGAGTGATTACGAGGAGGAAAAAGAGGGGCGAGAGCGTTACAAACGATTGGCGAGGGGGCAGGTATGCGGGCTCCAGCTTGTGCTTGGCCAGCAGCTAAAGGGAAACACCTAGGAACGAAACCCGTTTGTGTTGGTCCTAGTCGACGGTGATGGCTACCTGGTATGGGTGCATTTTCTCTGTGATGCACGACACCTGACTGATGAGAGGCCTAGTTTAAAGAACACCTGATCAAAGCTGGAGGTGATGGAGGTATCACGGCTGCTCGACTCATGCATGACTCCATTCGCGAGCTACTACACGACCGCCTTGGGAGTCAGGCGGACCAATGTCGGGTCATGGTTCGCATCTATGCCAACATCCTGGGATTATCTAAGGCACTGGCGCGCTCCGGACTTGTAGGCCATGAAGCCCGATCGCTATCGCCCTTTGTAGCCAACCTGACGAGCTCCCAAGATTTGTTCGACTTTGTTGATGCAGGGGACAAGAAGGAAGCGGCGGACTACAAGATAAGAGGTCAGCCTTTCTCCCCCAACTGCCACGTCCTGTTTGCTGACTGAGATAGAAATGTTTCGGATGTTTGCTGACAATAACCAATGCAAGCATATTTTCTTCGCCGGGTGCCACGATGCCGGGTACCTAAACTTATTAACCCCCTACCGGGGACGAACAGACCGTATCACCCTTCTTAAAGCGGCCGGATTCCATAACCAGTACAATACTCTAGACTTGCCGGTCAGAGAACTTCCGGGGGTCTTCATGTCGACACCCTTCGCTGGTGTTCACGCAAGGGAGTCTCCAAGTCAAACTCAGATTCAATCCCAGATCATACCGCCCTCGCCTAGCCGTCCGGTCTGTAAGCATTATCAAAAGGTAGTACCCACCGTGGCCCAAGTGTTATGTCGAGCTAACGTGGTTACAGGGCATTTGTAGGTATGGAAGCACATGCATCAAGCTCCACATACAACCGAATCAACAGATATCTAAAGTCCCCGATGATACTACATCACTCTTTAACCGGGAAAACACATCTCCATCCCGAACTCACGAATACTATGCAGCCAATCTGCCCGCCACTACAGACCCGGCTCATGTGCCTATTAACAAGACTGGAGACCGCATCGATACCTACTGCGCCGCACCCTCGCCTGATGCGCGGGACCAGTACTCTCGTCGTGCCAGAAACCACCGGCCTTGCAACAACTTTCACTTGGCCGGACACTGTGATACTATAAATTGCGAATTCGACCATAGCCCCATCGATTCCAATAGCCGTAGTGTGATGACCTACATTCTACGCCAGCACCCGTGTGGCGCCGGTCTCTCTTGCCGATCAATGAAGTGTTTCCTTGGCCATCACTGTCAGAAAGACGGATGTCGGGGCACCAAACCATGCAGATTTAACAGGCATGCTCATATGCTGGACCTGCAGATTGCCAAGTGGGTTCCAGCCTTGGAGAAAGAAGACGTTGTCGCATCCTCCGCGAGCGATGCATCAGACGAAGCTAGTCCGGTCGACTCCGACAACACCTTCGCATATTCGACCCACGATATACTATCTTGAAGCGCTGAATGATCCATTAGGATCAGTCCACTGGGATTCGACACTACACTCGAGACTGGAACGATCGTAATGGAGACAAAGGTATTAACACACAGATGGAATCATCAACTACGCCGCCTGCATTAGGTCGTTCTAGAATTAATATGTAAACCAGATTACCTCAGGTACATGGAGGTAATATTGCGATAGCCCACATTTGAGCATGAATGAAATTGTTCCCCTGGATGATTCCCACGTTATCTGGCTGTCAAATCCGAGTTTATACATTGGCTATTAGTGGCCAATTTACCTTGAAACTGTGCCAGTCTTAGCTCAGTCACAGACACTAACAGACCCAAGCTCCTGCTTTGCGGTGGGCTAGGACAGCAGCTTGCTTGTCGGCCTCTCCGCTGAGAGATGAAAGCGCCTCCGTGCAATATCCCCATGCAACCAACATCCAAGGTACTCTCGCATGATTTCCAACCTAAACCAGGTGGCTATCTGACTCCGCAAGAGCAACGTCTTTTTGATGGCTTTGACTACTTTCCCAGCGCAGACAAAGCGCTAACAAGCTTCTCTCGCAATCGCCTAACCGTTCTTAATGTTTCACTTTACCTGAGCACTTTCTTTGCCAGATTGAGGGGGTTTCCCGGCCACTGATTGTTCTTGACGGATGGATGAATTAGGCCTACTTCTTTGAATTTTGGCACTTTCAACTTGAAGCCAAAACTGGCTTGGCTTTGTGCTTCCCGTCTATGCCAGATGATGTTCTCGTTTGCTCCAGATCGCCACCAAAGAGCAGCGGCTGTGACTCCCGGTCGCTAAAGCTACAGAGCAATATGCTTTTCATAGGGTTTCCTTGATCCAGACGGGTTTGAATGTCTCGACAAAGGCGACATGGCTTCACTAGCGTGGCTTATATGGGCATATTTCTTCGAGCAAACAAAGCGATGTTGTCCTCTCAACTCTTCAACATCAGATTTGCGAATATGTCGGGTCGATGTACCCCAATTTTTTTTTTCGAACTGAAAGATATAAAAGGCGCTCAGTGTCACATTGACGATAGTTTCTGAAGGCATCGGTATTGCAATTTCTGATCTATGCTACGGTATAGATCTCCTACGGTATACCAATTCCTCACCGCAAACGCCTACCATCTAATCGGTCGACCAACTCTAGTCATACACCCCAGAAAAGACTCACAATGCCGTCCCAGCTTTCCAGGTTTCCCGAGATATGCCCCCGGTGCAAAAACCGGTACAACGTCCGGGTTCTGGCTGAGTTGTTCCGCCTCCAACGAGCACGACTACCAGCGTCTGCATTCCCCAGCGCAGAGGCACAGGCCAACCCGGAGGAGACCTGCGAGCTGGCGCGCGGTTTCCTGGATATCTTCAACGGCGCGGGTTACACGGACGAGGAAGTCTACCGCATCCTCGACCCCGAATCTGAGAGCGAGGACGATGGGCTAAACGCGCTCAGGCAAGAGATGCAAGATCTGGCTGTCGCCCTCCCGGCTCCCTATGTCACCCAGCCGCCGAGAGACTCTCCCCGGCAATCGGTCGTGAAGCGCATGGCCTACAGTGTCGTCGAGGACGCCCTACCGCCAACCAACCTGCCCGCCTGCAAATGCAAAGCCTACATGCTGGCGCCGACCGGGCTGGGCTGCCTCGATCTAGCTCTGCTGACCGACTCCGTAGCGGCCATCGGCTGCCTCTTCACTTTAGGTCTTCGTCCGACCACGGTGCTGCCTACCGGCTTCAACATCCTGGGTACTGCCATCCTGGCCGAGGCCAGGCAAATCGTAGCCCACATCTACGAGGCTTTCACTGTGCCCCCATTTTACTGGATCGGCAACGCACACACCACCTTCATCCCCGACGAACCTTCCCTCCACCCACTTACTCTGGCCCTCCGGATGCACAACATCCCCCTATTCCAATTCATCCTCAGCCACGAGGCGCCCGACGAGCCGATTCCCGCGGAAATCCTGCTGTGGGCCGTCCAATACGGCGACGTGGAGATCGTGCGCTCCCTGCACGAGCAAGCAGGGGTGGATTTCTTCGCGGAAGAAGACCAACCAAGCCGCCTCGTGGAATGTCCCGACCACAAAGTGCCCGCGGCAGTTGTCGTGTACGGAGGCCTGATGCCCATCGCGGAAATCCTGCTTCATTACGCCACGCGCAACACCGCCGCCGGCGCGCGGATGCTTCAGTGCCTACTCAGCATGCTCCCGCCGGGAGACATGCGCCCGCGCCGCCGCTTCCTCAACGCGCGGTCCTGGTACGGCACCACCCCGCTGATGGACGCCGCGCGCGCCGGCAACTACGCCGCCGTCCGCTACTTGGCCGACTCGCAAATTGCAAAGCTCGATTTCGTCAACCCGCTCGGCATGTCGGCACTGTACTTCGCGGTGCAGCGGTTGGACATCCAAGCCGTCGAGGCCTTGTTCGAGGCCGGCTGCGCGAACGGGAACGAGCGCGAGGATAAAGACGGAAGGCCGGTCAAGCCGCCCTTCTATGCCATTATCGATGCGCATCGCCGGCCCTGCGTCGAGCGGTATGATCCCGCAGAGTTGAAGGCGCATATTGACAGGGTGTTGGATGTGGCCAGGTTGTTGTTGAACAACGGGGCAGATCCCAGACTCAAGTGGGAGGAGGACAGGGAGGACGAGGAGGAGGTCAAGACGGTGCTGGAGGAGGTGAAGACCGAACCTGTGCTGGAGAGGTTGGTTCAACTCTTGCAAGAAGAGCTGGAGGAGAAGGATTTCCCGCTGAGTGAGGTTTGAAGCTCTGGCTTGGTCGCTTCGAGAGGGTTTAGTCGTTGACCTTCATTGGATTAATATAGATTATCATTATGGTTCGAGATTTCTTTTTGTTTTTGTTGTTGTTCGCTTTTGTTTTCTTTTTCCCTTTGCCTTTCTGCGAATGATCCATGCAAGATGTGGTAGTCTCGGTTTCATGATTGTGATTTGGGACTTTGGCTGATTCGAGTCCTGGGGGATACTGGGTAAGCAAGACTCGATTGAACCTCTTGACCTTCCAGAGCTAAACTCATCATGGTCACAATATAAGCTTCAGACATCAACGATGATATAGGCCGCAAAGGTGGGCTGCGCTCACGCTGTCTCTGCATTGTGAAGGCCATGAAGGTGCCGAATCAGCGTCAATCCATGGCAAAACCGCCGATCTCATACAGTACGCCTACATCTTCATCTTCCTGGTCGGAAACTGGGACATCCTTCATCAAATCACATTTAGTGCATATGGACTTCGAACAGAATACATGCCTGCTTAGGCGACCACCCCTGAACGTGACATCGGGCTTGGAAAACCTCAATTTGATAATTCTGCGACCGAATCGGCTTTCCACAAATACTGTACGATCTCACACTCACTCTCCAGATTTCGTTCTATTGACTAGCTTTGGACCACTTAGGGCTCTCTCGATCAGGCTTCCCTGACAGAGAAGGGTTATATCAGGTTGCCGCTATGGTGGGGCACCACCTCTATTCGTGACCCACGAGAGCCCCAGAAACCTTCGCTGAAGATCTCCAGGAGGGTTCGAGTGTAAGACGTGACAATGGGCGCTCAGAAATAATTCATCCATCGGTCTGGCCATTGCTCTGATATATGGAGGAGACATCCGTTTAATCAGGATCTGGTCAACGAGGCGGAGATTCTTGAGGCGGTATTCACAAATCGATGAATATCCTCACCATGATTGTTTATCTGAAGTGAATGTACCATGGTACAGACTCATTGTGTCAGTGACACCAGGGAATCAGAATCATAGCAACGCACATATATAAGAGGCGACATGATCAGACGTGAGTATAGCCCAACACCCTCATCTTCCAAGCCATGAGCCTTTCTGGAACATTCAACGCTCATCAAATCAGACTATCCCAAAACCGAACCAGGTCATCAACCATGGATAACATCGACCAAGTCGAAACCGCCCAGTGGTGCGGCTTGTGTGGGTATGTGAGGTCGCCTGCCAATTTGGCCAAGGAGTTCACGCAGCTACGTAAACGGCCCATGCCAGCGCTTCCCGACCCGGAGGACATCCAAATCCTCAACGGGTCGAACCTGGTCCCTAGTCTGATGGCCCTCTGGAAAGAAGCGGAGCTGGACTTGTCCCACCTAGAGCGAATGCTGCAGCCGGTGAACGACCCCGCCGTCGGGGCGCGAACCCTGCAGTCCATGATCCAACGAAGATTCTGCGCGGTACTGGCTGACGGCTTTCAGCACTACCAGGTCTCCCCCGATGGGAAGATGCTCCAGTTCTGCTGCTATGCCGGGCACCAGCAGGCTGTCATAGGCTCTGGGTCGGGCCCAGCCGCCTCACCGCAGGTCGCCTTCCCCAACGTGGTGCACCACGCCATCGCCCACGACTCGGTTTACGAGATCCAGCTGGCCGTCGCGTTGGGCCTGGAAGCCCACCGGCCCGTCTACTGGGGATACACTCTGCTGGGCACGGCGATACTGGCCCGGGCCCACAAGGTGATTCGGTACCTCTTCGAGCGGGAGGAGCGGTTCCCCGGGACTGCCAAGCCCCTCGCCGACCAGCGAGTCAACTGGATGGGGCGCGAGTACTACGGGCCGCTCGAGCTGGCGCTCGCCTTGAAGGACAAGCAGCTCATCTGGCTGCTGCTGGAGCTCGTCGGAGGCGGCAATCCGGACGTCCTGGAGTGGCAGCGCGTGGAAAACCTGTGCGTGAGGCAGACGACCAGCGGCGCGATGCTGAAGTACCTGGTCACCACGATCGGAGTTGACCTGCTGGCTAGCGACGCAGATATCGTGCACAAGCCAGTGCAGCTCAAGATGCCCCCGGAGCTGGTGGCGACCTGGGGCGACAACGCGGGCGAGTACCTGCTGCGGCGGGCGATCCGTGACGACTGGGCCACGGCGGTCTCCCGGCTGATGGTCGACCTGGTGCTGGGGCAGGCGCAAGCGCAGTGGAGCCACACCGCGGCGACAGACGCGAACTATGCCAGCCGGTGCGATCAGCTCCTCAACGACCCCATCGCCGGCCTCGACCCCGACAGCCCGCGGTACGCGATCCCGCCGATCGCCTGGGCCATCGTGTTCGGCCACCGGTACGCCTTCGACACGCTGCTCAAGCAGCCCGGGTTCGACCTGAACCGCGCGTTCGTCGAGCAGCCCGACGGCCAGCGCGTGTTCACGCCGCTGACCTTCGCCGTGCGCATGGGAGCCAGCTGGGCCATCGACAAGCTACTGAAGCGCACCGATCTCAACCTGCACCGCCACGGTCCCATGCCCTTTCGCTGGGCCAACGCCCCCCAGACTGCCCCATACCCCAGCCCCTTCGCGGAAATGGTCGCCTTTGTGGAAGACCGGGCCACTCAAACGGCCCCCGGCACCAATTGGCTGGTTGGCATGGACGACGCTATGGTCGCCCTGGGCGCGCGCTTCCGCAACATGGCCCGCCTCTTCATCGGCAAGTTCAGCCCCCGAGTCCACGTTGGGTTTTGGCTTACAGGGGAGACCTTTTCCCGGTGGGTTCTGAGGAACCAGCCGGTGAGCATCTACTTCGACGAGGTGGTCGACCTCCTGCGCCAGCACGGGCACCTTCCATGACCGACCGCGTTGTGCCTTTGAGGAAGGGCGTAGAGAATGAGTTAGCTGATAGGTAAGTTATGTAGTCAGATACCTCCATGTATCAAACTTAGTTCTATTTTTAAAACGAATGTCCGTCATTGAATATTATATATTCAGAATCTCACCGCCCTCGGGCAGAATTCCCTCCCTTGCATTCCTCTTCTTTCCTCTCTTTGCTACAACAGAGTAAGACAATGATTTTATGTACGGGGAATTACTCATTGATAGGTTGTTGATTATAGAATTGTAAATGTCCATTTCTAATTTGAAATAAGAAGCAAGCTCCGAGGAAGCTCGAAATAAGACAAAACGTAAAAGCTCCAACAACGCCAGCGCTCGTGTATATGCTTTAGACCCATGAATCCTTTTCAAAGCCACAAAATAAAAAAAAAAAAGAAAAAGAAAAAAAGAATGCAAGAAAAAAAAATCTCCATCATCAAGTGAGGTTCATCTATTCCTCAATCCTGGTTCTCCTCGACCGCCTTCTCCAGATCCTTGATCTTGTGCCGGCCAATCCGCAGCTTACTGCGCAGGTTCTTCTCCTTGATGAGCAGGGCGCGCTTGCGGCGGCGCGGGGGGTAGTTGACGGGACTCTCGCCGCCGGTGAAGATGGCCAGATCGTAGACCATGGCGCCGAAAAGCCCGCCGAAGATGTCGGCCACCCAGGGGCCCCACACCCACCAGACGTTGTTTTCCGTGAAGACCTGGCCGCCCCAGCCGGCCATGAGGACGGTCAGGCGGGGGCCGAAGTCGCGGGGCGCGTTGAAGCAGCTGCATTGCATTAAGTATTAATATGCTATTTAATTGGTGGAAAGGAGTTTCAGGATAACTTACCCGCCCGTGTTGTAGCCCAACGCCAGCAGCAGCACCGTGATCACGATGCCGATGATGAACGCCTGCATACCGGCACCGGGCGGGGCGTTGGCGTCATCGCCCAGCGCCAGGATGATACCGACCAGAATGGCGCTGCCGAGGAACTCGTCGAAGAAGGCGGTCGCCGGCGTTACGAACGTCTTAGGCCCGGTCAGCATGGCCTCGCTGGCGGTCGTTTGCGCCTGGGGCACTTGGGATTTGACGGAGAGGTCGACGATCGCGTCGTGGTAGATGGCGTAGGCGAGTCCGCCGGCCGTGATGGCCCCAAGGACCTGGGCGAGGACATACAGGGTGCATTTTCTCGCTGGGAAGCCACGCCACACGGACAGCGAGATGGTGATTGCGGGGTTGAGATGGGCACCGGAGACACCACCGGCCATGTAGATGCCGATCATGAACGCGAACCCCCAAGCCGCGCACTGCGAGACGTAGGTGCCCGCCTGTCCTTGGGAGGTGTAGTGCGACAAGCCCGCACAGAGACCGAGGGTGATAGCCACGCTTGTCTGAGAAAGTAAGTGTAAGGGTTAGCGTCGCTGCCCCTCCTTCGATTCGAGTATAACGAGTAATGGAGTGGGCAAGACTCACTCCTAGCCACTCTGCAAATGGCTCTTTCGCATAGAAGCGGATTTTCGACCAGATATTGAAGAACCCATCATGGTCCGGGTCCTCGCCTTCTTGCTGGGATTCTTCGGTCTGAGGAATCCCGGTCGGGGGTTCCTCGGCCGCGGGGGGAGGGCGTGCCCGTCCATTCTCCTGCTCTTCCTCTTTGCGATCCTCCGGCAAGGCCCCGTAGCGCATACCATCGCGCACCACGTGTGGTAGTGGTTGGGCGAGACTCCAAACTGGCTTCCCAGGTTCGTCTTTGCCGTATTGAGGGTTGAGGGAATGGTACTCCGGGTGAATGTAGGGTCCGTAGGATGGCGGCGCGCCCCAGAAGGCACTGGAGCCTGCTAAAGAGAACCCTCCGGGAGGCTGACTTCCCTGGGTCTTGGAACGAGAGACATCGTCTCTGAATTCTCCGGTACGTTGGGTTCGTGCAGTAGCCTGCCGTGAGGCCGAGGGTCGTTTGTATTGGGGTCGTTCTTTAGGCTGTGACCTTTTGTGGTCGGGCGAAGACTCGTCGTCCGTGTCGGACGATTGAGATGATTTGGAGTCGAATTCCTCCGGATCGGTACGAACTTCTACGGTGGCGTTAGCATTGTTGAGCCACTACAGTCATTTGCAGTATGGGGGACAGACCGTCCACCTCTTCTTTGTGCGACTCGAGCCCGTTCGCCATGGGGGTTGATATATGATTCAAAGCACGGGAGGAGAGAACAAAGCAATTGAGAGCGAGATGTGAGATAAGAAACTGTACGATTAATTAAAGCCCGAAGACCTTAAGAGGACGGAATTATCAAGCGCAACCACTGACCTGCGCTTGCAAGGGCGACGGGTTCCAAAGCGGGTCTTATATACTCGGTCAATATTGCGTCACGGAACAAGACGTCAGGATATTCGACGGGGGAACGGCCAATTAACGATCCTCATCCATAATGATAAGATCCATCAGCGCCACACCCTGGAAACCGCTTTTTCAACACCAGAGCAGTACACAAGAAAGTGGTACAATCCAGAGAACTTGATCACGGGTATACCCCGGCTTTTGTGGCACACAGTGGTGACTGGGATGGCAGAGCAGTCAAGTGGGCAGATTGTATGGATCACGGTGGCTGCTCTTCGTCATACCCAGCAAGCACCGGGCTGTTCTACCATCAAGTCGATTTGAGACGCAATGGTGGGTAAGCTGGCTGTAGGGCTCGAGTACCTGAAAATGCTTGTCGGGTGAAGGATCTACAGCGATGAAGAGCATCCATTTAGAAGTACGGGTACAGTGTAAGAAATCAGAAGTCGAAAAATCCCGTGCTGATTGGCGGGTTCTCAAAATCAAGGCAAGTCCACGCCGTCGCGGGCTGGCATGCCGGGCATTGACCTTGGGATGGTTGGCGGAAGTCCATCCGTTGCGCGCGCATACACATTGGACAGGTCCGTGAGGATCGGCCGGTTAGTCAGTCTCAGCGGTCGAAGGGGAGAAGAAATGGGATCCACCGGTGACATCGCCGGCCCAGACAGTCCCGAATTTAGTAACTGGGCTGCGGTGCGAATCAGTCCAGCTTTGGGACTGAGCACGGTACTGAGTAGCAGTATCTGGTGCTTTCCATAGGGCTTTCAGGTCCTGCAGAGTGGGATTTGGGATTGCAGATCGCAGGGTCTCCGGAGTGCAGCACGACTGGAGGCATTTCTACCGGAGAACGAGACTCCATCAGCAGGGGTTGCAAATTGTTTCTGTTTCTGAGTGATTGGGAAGATTCGAGATGACCGAAAACTCTGCTGTCAAAAGGCCCAAGATGGAAACACTTTGTTTAGTCCCCGAGATAAGATTTGTAGCCTCGTGGTGGGCATTGCATTTTACGAGACGAAGTTTCGAATGGAGCAATCACCGACTCGATCATGGATGGATGGTCGAGACTCGAATTCGACTGGGCGGCAAGCCGAAAGGGGAAAGTAAAACGGGTGCCATGACATCATCAGTTTCATCTGGTTATTTCCCGATTGGGACACCGGCGGCCTGATCATTCAGGCTGACCTTGGTCTCGATCGCTTTCTTTTATTCGTGTGCCTGTTACCGTTACTGTAGGGAGTCACAGAAGCGGCCGATCTCAGCAACGATTGTAATATTGTGCCTTCACAACACTCGCTGTTGGCTGCATACCCACCGATCAATAGTTGTCGACATAAATTGGAAAATGGTGGTGAGATTCGATCGTATCAAGCAGATGCTTCTCAATGAGCATTCGATGGCACGTCACCTTATCACGAACGCATACTTCGAGCAAACGTAAGCAAAAGTTAGGAGGACCATCAAGCAGCAGTCGAGCCAAGCGGATTCAGTCAGGAGCCGGATAGACCAAATCAGTAGTCTGGGTATGGGGTGCAAATGAGCTTCTGGGTCAACAGTTCTAGCATAAGTGACGCGTCGGGGTTGCGAACAACAGAAGCTTTGTGAGACGAGGACTGAGACACAACCGATGTCAGCAGACGATAGAGAAAAGGGAAAGGCTATCTAAAAGATGATCGAAATTATTTGGGAACAGATAAGTCGGCGGAACATAGGTGACGGATTCATGCGGAGCCACGCTGGCCACATTTCGGTCGGTCGCTAGCATCACGTATGAGCTCCTGTTGTGTTTGTTCAGGATCTCAACAGCAACAAACAAAATAAGCCCCTTGGGTTGCCCTGTGATTTCATCGGAATATACTGCGGTACTAGCGGTTGTGCGCATACTTAATGTCCGAACACCCGCAGTCACTTGTCTCAGCATGTGCATCGTGGGCTGCCCAACTATTGAGGCCACGATGAGCTTGGCAAATGTGACGAGTCCCAGCTCTGGATGACGCTATTCGTGATTGTCCCCTGCGCATCTGGGATTTTCGACGAAACTGTCAATGTGCAACGCGTGCTGAAGCCATGTGAGCGGCTGTAAGCTTCGCCTCCTGCTGTTTCGTGCTTCAAGTGCTAGGCATCGGTCAGATTTGGAGGGACGAGCCCAAATATCAGCGAGGCCGCTGGTGAGACACGATCTCAGCATCTAGCCGAGCATGAAAGGATGGCTACTCGCTCAGAGGCTGGAAAGTCCTGGTTTCCTTTGGTACGTCGTGGCAAGGCTGCCGTATGCACGGTGCCTGTTTTCCTGTGACCCCAGAAAGTAGTATCTAAGCCCAACACTGCTGAAAGCACCCTTCGCTATCTTGTCTTGCTCGTTGGCCACCTAAGATTCGAATAAGCTAGTCCAGTTCGTGTAATGCTCAGTATGGTCCTTGAGGTTGCGATAGTGAGGGAGCCACGGATTCACCGAGAACTAAGCAGAACAGCGTCGTCACATTTGAATTACACCCATGTTGCTTGGGCAATCTGCCCTGTTGCCGATATCAAAGAGCATTGCGCGATGATACGAGGTAATGTGCTCAATCGGAGGGTATTCTGCACTTTCTGATGTCGACTGAGCTTCTTGACGCTTTCGCACTCGAACGAAGAGCTGAAATTGTTTGGACTTCGTTGTTATGGATGGCTACTGAACGCTTGTTAAATTGTAGCTCCAGGGTGTTAGTGCAGTCAGACATAGAGGCTTGGTTGTAGGAAGTCGTTGATCGTCTCTCTGTGATGATCCAATCGTCAGTAGTACATCTTGTGGACTAGAGGAAGCAGAGGCAGCAGAGGTACTATACATCCAAATATATATTGTGACACACAATACCAGTGTAGCAGAGTGAAATCTCCTTGGAAGGCCCCATCAAGTGAAACTTCTCGTGAGTCCCAGTCAGGTTTGAAGCTTGGAAAGAAAGATGTCAATGTGCGGGGGAACATGAGGTAGTAGTAGTTATGCAGTGGATAAGTTCTGTCATGGCCGGGTCCACGGTGCCTGGCCGATATCCTTACTAGGCCTAGCCCCCACCCTTCAATCTGTGACCCAAAGGGGTTTAGTGCGACTTATGGTCCTACCTATACTGTCCTTCCATGATACTCCCATCTCTTCTTTTATTCACCCAAGATCTCTTTTGCCAGTGTTCATCGAATATGTGTTGCTTTTAGACGATTCGGTACTGCTTCTTTTATTCATCGAGGCTGCAGTTTGAACACTGGATTATTTTTACAACAAGACTATCTGAAGGAGATGATATCTGCGGGACGAGCTGCTCATTGCCTACCTCGCACCGCTGCACAGAATTGTCATGGTTGGCCTCTTCTCAGCACCAGAGCTCCTGTGGCAGTGGATATTTCCAGCCTGACTATGCATGGGCCGGTTATGTCTATTGCATAATTGATTTGAGTGGACTGCGTTTCGGGCATTCTTTCCATGCCGGTACCTGCGCTCAGGAAGGGAAAACACTACCCCATGCGCCTGAGAGCAGCGAGACTCCGACACCAGTAAGTGTATGACTTGTGATATCGTTCTTTATCTTATATTGTGAATCTAAACTTTTTTCACAATGAGACTGACCAAACGTCCGAGCCGCAGGTCACTCCCTCTGCGCCGATTCTCGTGCTCACTATGCAACATACCCAGTGGCGTGGCGACCGGCTCTGCATCTGATCTTGCTACAATCAGACTGTAAAAGTGCACAGCACGACACAAATGCTTTTCAGTGGAGTGCAGCCGATATTGAGAGCTTCCTTTTGCCGATTCAACCCAGATTTTCGATTGCGCTGTTCGAAGATGACATCATGCCCACAATAAGGAAGCAGTGGAATGGACTTGTAAGCACCAGATAATCATAATACGCAACTGCGATCCAGTCAAAGCGAAAGACAGGATGCTCTGAGGATATGAAGCGTGCACGCCTAAGATACCAAGCGTCCAGATGTATGGGACCCTGGCCTGATCCAGCACAGATTGATCGATTGAGAGATTACGGCACAGTGCCTGAGTTGCGTTAGCTGCTAGCGCCGATGTTGAGCGTTTTGTGGCTTTCCAATTCGTGAGCCGCAACAGATGACAAAATACACAGCAAAATGCTCATGGTGTAGTGGAGATCATGACGTGCGGCAACTGGAAGCTGGCATGCGTCTCCCTTGTCCTGCTGGCGTTGGAATGCTGAGAAGCACTGTCATCTCCAGGCAACGGGTTTAGTTTTGCAGATCTTACGTGCGAGGCTGCCATTCAGTATACAGTATTACATGGAACTAGAATTCTTGTGTCACTTATCCGATGAATCGTTTCCGCGGCCAAGACGTGCCAGTGGATGTGCGGAACAGACGATCGCAGCGACGATCTCAATTTGGCCGCTCGGATAACTTTTCCTGCGACCCCTGTGCTGTTACCATCATCACAAGAATAGCCGGGGAAATTCGAGATGCGACCTACACGGTCTCGCTCTACGAAGAATTGATCCATGTTGGAGAGCGGCGTCATCCTGTGATATCACTTGGGAGGCGAGGCTGAAGACACACAGCACAACAAGGATTCAACACAGCACAACGGATTTGTTATGTGACGAAGACGAGCTGTCACCTGAGACCTAGGGTGGACGACGAGACCTCCATGCTTCTAGGCAAGTAGGATGTCATCCATCACAATGCTTTTGTGGTTATGGCTATGAAGAAGGGCTAGCCGTGGGCCTAGATGCTAGTTCGACGTCATCTGTTTTGCGCGATACGTCACTGCCCCCGCCGAGGTGACTCGCCGGCTAATGCTACGCGGTAACTAACTCATACTATCCGTACACAGTCGAGTTTTCTAACGAGTAGTTGAACTCCAAACTACTTCCAGTGGGCTGGATCGATCTAATGCTCATGATCGACTGGTTCCCTTCTTATTCCAGATCAATCGGAAATGTGACTTCCACGGGAGTCTTGACCAATGCGCGCCGCCGCTTCCTCCTGGAAAGGAAGGGGAAGTACAGTACTGTACCCGGCCCACACGAAGGGCAGCCGTTTGAGATCGAAGCCCACATTGGATCGCAGGCGATGCGGAGTGGAAAAACCCAAAGCTCAGAACATTGTGCAGACTGACTGCACTGAGAGAGAATGGCTACGATGAGTACGGAGTACCTCCGGACTAGAACCATTCCGAAGGGGATTGAAACTGAGCCTGGACCTGAATAACTACTCACTGGTCCACGGTCACGGTATCAGTGCCGCTTACCAAATGCGGACTTGTGACGATACTGACCTTCAGTTCCATGTACTGTACTGTACTAGGCCTCTTTGGGAGATTTCTTCGGAGTGCGGTCGACCGCCCTCCAGGGGCTCAATTCGTCCGTCTCCTGAGTCCTGACTGACTCGACCGAACGACTAGTTATTTGTTCGGATCTTTCCGGGAATGCCACTAGCCCTCATTGTACCCTGCGGTCGGTGATCGGTGGCTTGGGAAACATTGTTCTGTTCGATTCTCGATCAATCGACAATGTGTCTTTCTGTAGACACCCACTCAACACCCAGAGACAGTCAGTGTGCCGGGAAAGGTCACCATCTGTCGCCCTTTGCCGCCCTCCATGCGTCGCGTCTTCATTTCATTTTGCGATGGTGGGAAGGGCGCCAGCTAGGGGGCGACACGGCGGGGTGAACCATGGTGGTGGTTACGACCCTATTTATCGTATCGGGCTGCCTTGCGTTTCGGGCCAGGCGAAGTCTGATGGATCACTTTTTTTTTCTAGGCGGGCCCGATGATGTCACTGGCGAGGGGCCGGTTCTTCATGCTGCCTTGATTGCCCACCCAAAAGCTCTGCCCCGTGCGGGTCTCGTTCCCTTCGCTAGTCCCCCATTCGGGCATCTCGGTGGCTGTCATGACGGCATGTCCGCGACCTCCATTCAGGGTTCCATGCTCTTTGAAATATATAGGGTCACGCCCGGCGGCAGTACCTTGATGCAGCCTCCAGATGCTTCCCCGCACAACCAGATCCTGTGGGGAATGAGCCAATTGTACAACAGCAATGCAGCGATCTCCACGACTTCTCACCACAACTAACTTCCTGTTCAACACTGTTTGCTAGAAATCAACATCCAGCCCCTGGAAGGTGAACGCTGTCGGTGTTTTGACCCGTGATCCAATCTAACCGCCCGAACCGCTAAGGCGAACATCTCGCCACCTTCAATTATCAACCTCTCTCCAACACTAACTGCCTTCCCTCCCCTTCACTCACCATGGGCGACCACAAAAATGCCGCCAAAATTTCGGGCGATGAAGAAGGGGCGGATGCAGAGGAACCAGGACGCCCGATAAGATTGACGTACAATATCGAAGGAGCCCGCGAACGCGAGATGCACATGTAGGACCCGGGCCCGTTTTAACGGTCGCAAACTCCTTCATCATTGCGCTGACGCGTTCTCTCTGTGGCACAGGTTCTACCCTTACTGGGGAATTCCTCCCGTCAAAAAGCGATCCGCCAACGCGTCTCGTGATAACGTCCTCACCGTTTTCGCGCAGCTAGCGACACTTCGGCTAAAAGCCAAGCGAGCCTTGATCTCCCTCTTCGATCGAACCACCCAATACGTAGTAGCCGAGGCAACGCCGCGCTACGACCTCCGCAGGCACCATAATCACCAGCAGGACTCGAACGCGAAGGCAAAATCTGGAAATCTATGGCTTGGTGTGTGTCAGATGTCTCGGGAATACATGAAGATGTGCGATCATGCGATGAAGGCCGCCGTGGAGGACCCTGAGGCCCTTTTCATGGTGCGCGACTTATCCAAAGACCCCCGCTTTCACGACCATCCGTCCGTGGTCGGACATCCGCATAACCGCTTCTACGTCTCGGTACCGATCGTCTCCCCTGGAAAGCATGTGATTGGAAATCTGGTGGTTATCGATGACAAACCTCGGGATGGACTCACCGAAGAAGAAATCGTCTGCGTACGAGACTTGGCATTGACCGTGATCGACCACCTGCAATCCCAGCGAGCCATGCGTGAGGAGTATCGGGAAGAGAAGATGGTAAAGGCCCTGGCTTTGTTTGTCAATGGCAAGTCGGACCTTGGGGAATGGAGCCAAAATCAGGATGGTCGGCCAATAAAGAAGGCGGGGGGGGCCTTGGTGGACATGTCGGAGGTTAAGAATCGTCTCGATGACCTCAAGGTTACTGACTCGGAGGATGACTCTGGTCAACAGGAAGGGTCGGAGAAATCGCAAAGCGAGACAGAGCCGCCGTCTGATGAGCAAGAACCGCAACAAAATGGGTCGGAAGAACGGCAAGATATCTTGGACGAAGAGCAAGATCAACCGGAACAGCAATATCGATCGGAGCTACAGCAATGTGGGATTAGCTCAAAGTCATTTGAGTATCAAGATGACACTCCTATATCTCCTAAGGGTACATGGAGCCCATCCTCAGACATCAGCCCATCCCGAGACAGCGGTGTCAATTCAGAGAAGAGTCCTACTTTGAACGGCAATACTTCAGACAAGAGTAACTCTTCGAAAAGGAACTCTGGATCCCCAGGAGAGCAGGGGTATCCTTCTCAGTCTGCCGAAGCCAATGGGGATAATTCCAAGCCTTTCGACGACAACAACAATACTCACACCGCCCCCAAGGAAAAAGGCTATACATTCCAACCGTCCACTAGCGAGCGCCAGGACGATGACACTACGCCTTCTTACAATGCAAAGCGTGGCCGTAGCCCGGATTCAACCGTACATAGGTTTGGAAAGGTGGGAGACAAGCCGACCAAGAGCCCGGTAGGCTCACATGCGCAGGGACGACCAACTCGTCCGAAGCTTTCCCCTACGACAAGTCGTCTACAAGAATCGCTGGTTCCGTCTAATGTGCGAACGATCCTCAGCCGTGCTTCAAATCTAATCCATCAGGCCCTCGATGTCGAAGGAACAATGTTTCTTGATGCGTCAGTGTATGCGAGACGGCAGATGATGGGCTCAACTAGCGACTTGCACGAGGATCGCAACCCCAGCTCTCGGAAGGTTTCGGGCGACAGCCAAGTGACCGCCGGGAAAAAACCGGCCAAGGATCAGAATCTTGGCTCCGCCACCCTGGTGCTCGGCCACTCGACGAACGCTGGTCTCACCCAGGACCACGAGCCGAGTGATCGACACTACGTCTCACTCTCGAGCGAACTGGTGAGTCGCATCATCGACCGCTATTCGCGCGGAAAGATCTTCCATATCGATGCGGACGGCACAATCACAATGAGCTATGAGGGCACTGCGCTCAGCTCGGAACTGGAGACCCATATTCGCGGAGAGGATGCAGGCCTGGAAGGGAAGCAACCCCACGATGCGATGATCCAGGAAGAAAACCGGGATATCAGGGACCTCATCAAAGTCATGCCCGGTGCCCGGTGCATCGCGATTTTCCCTCTGTGGGACTTCCAGCGCAACCGATGGTTCGCAGTCAATGTGGTGTGGACGAGAGATCCGGGCCGAGTGTTGTCGGAGCCGAAGGACTTGACGTACATGGCGGCCTTCAGCAACAGCGTGATGGCAGAGATCTCGCGGCTGAATTTGCAGGCGGCCGATCGCGCGAAGGCTGACTTTATCTCGTCGATCTCGCACGAGTTACGCTCACCGCTGCACGGCATCCTGGGTACATTGGAACTGCTGAACGACACGGCGACGAGTGTCACCCAACGACCTTTGTTGGAGACCGTCTCTAGCTGCGGCAAAACCTTGCTTGACACCCTGAACAACCTGCTAGATTACGGCAAGATGAATGCGCTGAACGACCCCCAGGGATCGCAGAAGCAGAATGAGTCAAAGAATGAGGAAGAACGCCGTACCAGCAAATCCCAGGGCCCGCCGGAGCAGGAAGAGGACCTGAGCCTGATTGTGCAGGAAGTAGTCGAAGGCTTGGTCGCGGGCCAGGACTTTTTCTGGAGAACCACCGAGACGAAACCCGAGAAAGAGAGAAAAGCGAAGGAGAAGAAGCCTAGAGGGAATCTCAAGGATGTTATCACTATTGTCGACATCAAGTGGCAGGAAAGCTGGCTTTGCAAGGTCAACCCGGGCGCCTGGCGCCGAGTCATCATGAACCTCTTTGGCAACGCATTGAAGTATACTGAGAAGGGTTGTATCCGACTGCGCATGGAGAACGATAGCATGCTCCTCGAAAATGAGAAAGTCCCTGCCGTCCGGATCGTCATCACGGACTCGGGTCGCGGGATGTCCGAAGACTATATTCTGCATCACCTGTACACGGCATTCGTCCAAGAGGACACCATGTCCCCTGGGCTAGGCGTGGGTGTGCACATTGTGAACCAGATCGTCAAATCAATGTCCGGTCAGATCGAGTTTAACAGCGAGCTTGGTGTCGGAACCGAAGTTAGTCTGCTAATTCCGGTAACCATGATCACCGACAAACCAGAGACATCGTTGGCGTCGTCGAGGTACCGGACCCTTAAGAAGAGATTGCAAGGCCGCACTGTCGCACTGTTCACGAATACTTTCCGCGCCAACGACCTGAAAGTGAAACCAGAGTTTGTGGATAACATCGTGGCCAACCTTCGTAAAATGATCAGCGACTGGTTTGGCTTGCGGGTGTTGACGGTGGGAGAGCTAGAAGGACAACCGGCAGATATCAACATCATCACCCAGGATGAGTACAGTCGGAACTACAGCCCCGAGGGTACTGGGCCTGGCGGACTCTCCCCTTCAGTCTCAGCCAGCGTAGGGTTCCCGCTGATTGTGCTGAGCGCGAACGCTACTAAGGCTGCTGATCTCCGGAGCGACCGGGACGATGTTGTATTTTTCTACCAACCGTGAGTAAATTTCAATAACGACGGGTTGTAGTCAATGCTGACAGGTAATCTAGTGTGAGCCCCAAGAGTCTGGCCACTGCGTTCGAGACGTGCCTCGATATCAAGGAACGTTCCGGAGATAACACTCCTGCACGAATTCAGTCAACACCATCCACTCCTGACGCTCAGATCCAGTTGCCAGAGCCTGCAATGAATGGCTTCCGGCCTCAGCATGCCGACACTCGAAAATCGGATGACAAGCAAATGGCATCTCCACGAGACAGTCAGATGGTTGATGGCGTGGATGGCGTGGATGGCGTGGACGATCCAGCGACTGAGCGACGGCAGCCAAACTCTGGGTCTGGACCCCGCAGAGTCCTTCTCGTGGAAGACAACGCTATCAATCTCCAGGTCGGATGCCCCTGCTTTCGTTCTACATACAACATGCTAACGTAGACCGACAGCTCCTCGAAATGGCGGTGAGAAAGTCGAAACTCCAATACCATTCGGTGTCCAACGGGCTTGAAGCAACTGACGCTTTTCGACGCTTGGCATTTGATGCTGTCGTGATGGGTTCGTCTCCGCCCCTTGTTGCGAAGTGAATCCCACTAACAAGTAACAGACATCTCGATGCCGGTCATGAATGGGCTCGAGGCCACCCGGAAGATCCGGCAGTGGGAGCGAGCTCAGCACTTGGAGCCCACGGTCATTATCATCCTCACGGCGGGAGTGTCGCCGGACATCCAGCAGGAGGCGCGAGCCAGCGGCGTCAATTTGTTCTTGATGAAACCGATCTCGATCGCCAAGTTGCAGAAGGTTCTGCGCGACATGCCTGACGCGAAGAAGGGGGCATCCTTCTAAAGAGTCGAGGTGTTTCTGGACTGGAGTTGGGGGCAGCGCGGGGCGTTATTGGTCTTTGTGTGGTTGGAATGCATGGCATGCATGGGATATGAATTACCATACTACGAGTACACGATTTTGATGTATCAGCGACGACGATAGGATAGACGATACCTACAGGATTTAGTTTTCTAGCATTGGCTTGTGGATATTCAGATGGATGGAATATAATGATGATTGACTTACATACCCTTACATAGACATACAAGATGCCTTCCAAGGTTGTCAACAAACAACAAATCTAGCTGACTGATAGCCAACTTCACGCCCGATACTCAATCTTCAACACCCAGCAATATTCCTCGCCCTCCCACGCCTCCTCTGGCACATCAAACCTGAACCCCCCCTCGACCTTCTCCCACTCCACCTCCCAATCCCCCGCCGTGTCATTCCCCCGCATAACCACCACGCGATCCCCGACCAACAACGGCAACGGCGCCTCGACCACCACCTTGCTGTCTGTGAGAACCGGCTCCTCCACCCACAGCACATAAAACGCCTCCTCGGCCTGGGTAAACCTAACCGCCCCGGCATTCCCCTCAGCCATCACAAACCAATACCGCGTCCCAAACACCGCCTCCCCATGCTCCCCAATCCACCGCCCCGCCTCCCTCAACCCCCTTTCCTCTGCCTCAACAATCGTCCCATCCGCCCGGGGCCCGACATCCAACAAGAAATTCCCATTCTTACTCACGATATCCACGAGATCGCGCACAATGGTCGACGCATTCATGTACCCGTCCGCCGGGGTGGCCCGGTTATACCCGTAGCTGTAGGGGTCCATGCCCATGTTGGACTCCCACTTGCGGCGCTGCGCCGAGCTGAAGGTCGCGTACTCCGGGGTGTCGAAGTCGGCGGCCTGCGGGATGCCGCACCGCGAGTTGATGGCCACCGGCTTGTCTTGGTTGAAGAAGTCGGCCGCGAAGACGGCCGTCGCGTTGGCCGCGCCGCAGTCGCACCACATGATGTCCGTGCTGTAGTCCCTTGACAAAATCTGCATCTGCGGGAGGAGGAGCGCGTCGATGAAGGTTCCGGGCTGGGTTGTTGGTGCGGTGGTGTTGGGGTTGCTGCTGCTGCTGCTGCTGCTGCTGGTGGCAGTGGTGGGTACAGTCACGTTCGGCAACGGGATCCGCCCCGTGTAGGGCTCCTCCTCCCCCGTGAAGGGATTCACCGCCGGCAATCCGGGCCAGCTCGTTGACGTGTTCCCGGGCAGCTGGGCGAAGCCGTACGGCGCAAAGTCCGGGTTGAACCATTCGGGCAGCGAGAAATACGTGCCGCGTTTGAGGTGCGGGTGGTGGGTTTCGGCGGCCTCGAAAAGCTCCCCCAGCAGATCGCGGTGCGGGCCGTAGTGTAGGCTGTTGCGGTGGGTGGTGGCCCCCGTGTCGAACAGGGCGAACCCGTCGTGGTGCTTGGTCGTCAGGACGAAGTATTTCGCCCCGGAGGCCGCGATGAGGTCGACCCAGCTTTTGGCTGAAAAGTTGGTGGCGGTGAAGTTGGCGAAGGAGTCGTCGTAGTTCCAGGAGGGGCCGAAGGTGCGCAGGCGGTAGGCTTGCGTCGAGGATTTGTCGGCGGCCTCGTGCGTGGTGTACCACCTTTTGGTTGTTTAGTGGGTGTTGTAGTGGCTCTTTGGGGGGAAGGGAGATAGGGTGGTGAAAGGGCCAGGGGAATATAGGGTAGAGCATGGGCAACGTACCAGAACCATTCGGCGTAACTCTCCCACGGAGTCGAGTTGCCCCAGCCTGGCACGGCGTACGGGCCCCAATGGATGAAGATCCCGAACTTGGCGTCGTCGAACCATTCGGGACTCTCGTGGCGAGCCAGGCTGGACAGGTCGGAGGTGTAGTTGGTCAATCCGAGGGAGAGATCGACGGACTGGGTGGTCAGGATATCACCCTGGTAAGTGATCTTGATCGTGGCCGTGCCGTTGGCGGTGCCGTTGACTCCCAAGTTGACTCGTTTCTGATCCCCGGGGCAGAGTCGCTTGATACGCCCGGGCTCAGTCATTGTAATGCCCGGCATCGCAAGCGTGGCTGTTAGTCCTGCGCCCGAGATGCATTCATTGCCCGGATTGTTGACCGTCAGCTCGACGATCTGGTTGCCCTGCTCAGTCCTTTTCTGGGTGGGCCGCACGAACTGCACCTGCGCTGCCGCCGTCGAGGTCACCGGCCACAAGGACAGCGCAAAGACGTGCAATCGGCCCGTGGTGGCATTGGTCGTCACGGGGAGGGTCACAGACTGTAGACTTTTGAGCGGATCCAGCGCAGCGGTATACTCGAAGATGTGCGAGGTGTTAAAGTTGGTGTCGTTGGGGGTATACCGATAGGGGAAGATGATCTCGCCGCGATTGATCGTCAAGAAGGCCCACCAGGGGAGACTACGCAGCTCAGACACCGTAGTGGTGTTGTCGCTGTAGGTGTAAATCACGTCCCCGGAGACAGTCTCGAGCTCCACATCCTCTGAGACGAGCATCGAGGCAGATAGATACCTACCCGAGGGGACTGCGATGGACTGGCCGGCGCAGATGACATTGTCGGACTGACCAGCCTGGCGATATCCGGGGAAAGAGTAGGTGATGCCTGTCTGCGACGAGGTGTAGCTCTCGTTGATTCCCAGCACGCTGGGATCAGGATAGGACTCGTTAGCTGCATTGAAGATGGCCTCGCCAGGCGCTTGACCGAACGCCTTGTTGTTGAAGTATGGCTTGAGTGAGACGAGGGTAGACTGGATTTGTTAGCAAGCAGAGTGTCGAAGATTGTCTGAGGAACATACGGAGGAATTGGCACGGGCAGCAGCAGAGCCCACCGACCCTGCTAGGGCCACCCAAAACAATAGTTCGTTCTTCATGGCGGTGGTGCTGTGGAAGAATTGCACGCCGGAGAGGTTGAATTTGAAGACCTGAGCCGACCTCATGCGATATTGTTCCCCTCTTCAATAATGCCACAGTGACATCGTCACTGGAGACACGGGAACTGCCAGACCGCGCATGCATAACGTTAATTGGATGCAGCAGGCGAGCTTCAGGGGGACTAAAAGATGCTAAGATGGCTAGGGGCGGGGAGGGCGTCGATAAGAAGAGGAGTTGCAATTTAGGGCTTCGTTCCCCTCATCGATAAGCCCGTGTGCCATGATAGTGCCTCGCACGGCTTCATGTTACATCGGCCGAGACGTGGGGCGACTAGTCAACTACTGTTCAGTAGATAAGAAGACACTGGCGCATTTGGACTCAAAGCAGTCTCTTCACTATCATGCCTGCTATGTGGTCGAGTCTGAACATTTTTGCCGCACTGGCCTTGGTGCCGTTGAGCGCCGCCTTCAACAATCCCCCGGGGGTGGACATCTGGTGTGGCAAGGCCTATCGCGCGACGTAAGTCATCCCCATCGGTTTCTGTCTCCACATACTGACCCTCTACTGCAGCAATGCCTCGTTCAATCCGGGAGGATGGTTTGAAGAGCCCTCCTACTCCGCGACGCCCCTGCTCAACCTCAAAGTCCGACCCCGCATGAGCATCTATCTCTCCAACGACCCCAGCGGCAGTCTCTTGGTGGATACCGGCGTGTCGCATCGCATCGGTGACCCCTTGCCCTCGACAGCAACAGCAAGCAGCAACCACAGCACCCAGGCCTTGCACCTGCACATCGAGATTAGCGACACGAACGGGACAGCAATCACGTCCCTCACCAACTACACCCTCCCACTGGACACGCGCAACAACGAAATCCCCATTCCACTGCAGGACCTGCCCGCCCAACTCCAACCCTACACCGTGACCGTCCACGCCACTCTGCGCTCACCCAACACGACAACCCCCAACCCAGCAACCTTCACCAAAAGCACCTCACTCTACCGCCTCCCGCGGCGCACTGACGGGGGCAGCGCCACGCGCATCGACAACTTGTATGGGGGCCTAGCCTACCAAACCAGCAGCGAAGAGACGTGGACCTCGATCTTCCCCTACACCTACTACGGTACAGTCCACTCCCACCTCCCACCTCCCACCCCCTCTCCCACTCACTAACTCACCCAAAAGCCCAGTGGACCCTCTACTGGGACACCTCCCCAACAACCCTAACAACCTTCACGGCCCATAACTACAACGTGATCCACATCGTGCCGACGGGCGCCCTCTCCACCACGACCACCGCCTACCCATGGACAACCCTAGACCCGTACCTCACGCTCGCCGACAAGACCAACCTGAAATTCCAATACGACCTCCTCTTCTCCGCCACCAACACCAGCACCATGCTAAATCAAGCCCAAACCCTCCACACACACCCCTCCCTCCTACTGTGGTATCTGGCCGACGAACCCGACGGAAAAGCCACCCCGCCTTCCACGCTGAGCACCGCCTACACCACCCTCAAGACCCTGGACCCCTACCACCCAGTCTCTTTGGCCCTCAACTGCGCAAACTTTTACTACGAGGACTACGCCGCCGCCGCCGACATCATCCTGTCGGACGTGTACCCCGTCGCCACGAACACGAGCTGGAGCAGCGTGTACGACACGCCGTGCAACGCGACGTACGGCTGCTGCGGGTGCGATGACTGTCTCGGGAGATTCGAGGATATCTCGACGCGGCTGGACACCTTCCAACAGTTCGACGAGGTCGTGGGCTGGGAGAAGGTGCATTGGGCCGCGCCGCAGGCGTTTGGGAATGAGACGTTCTGGACGCGGTACCCTTCGCCGGAAGAGGAGGTGGTCATGAATCTGCTGAGCGTGAATCATGGGGCCATGGGGGTCGTGATGTGGGATTTTCCGACCTCCCAGGAAATCAGTGAGGTGACCGGCCGGTTGGCTGCTGTTGTGACGAGTGCTGAGATTACGGGGTTTTTAGTTGGGGTGGAGAGGAGGCGGGTCAAGGTGGGTGGGGAGGGGGCTGCGAGGGTGGATGCGGCCGCGTGGGTGGATTTTACGGCGAAGAGGGCTTTGGTTAGTGTGGTCAATTTGAGATATGAGGATACTACGGCGGAAGTGGTGGCTGGGGGTTTGGATTGGGAGGTTAAGGCGGTTGAGAAGGTGGTTTGGGGGGAGGTGCAGTGGAGGGTCGAGGGGGAGAAGTTGGTAGTGAATCATTTGGATGGGTTGGAGGTTTCGTTGGTGATTGTGGAGCTAATTTGAAATTGCAGGGGTGTAGCCGTTTGGATAACTGTATAGTCTGGAATGCTGACAGCGCTGATCTGCAA